GAATGGCGGCGGGCGGAATGGGTCTGTGTGCTGGTCAGGGTACTCCGTGTTTTTTGGGGTTGGTTGGAAGAACAGGAAGACCGCAATTTTGGGTTTGGGGGGGGTGGGGGGCGGGGTCTTGATGGAACCTCCAAAAGTGGCGATTTCAATGGAAAGCATTAGAACACCCATGAACTTTTCAAGGTTAGATCCATTGGGTATGTCTGCTTTTCAGGGTACCGTTGTTTGGGGTTGGTTTAAAAAGCCCCATTGTGGGCGGGCTCCCCTCAAAAACAGAGAAAACACTTTACTGGGGAGAACGTGGTTGGACACATGGATCGGGCCCAGGGTTCCCCATTAAAAATCACACCCAAATGAGTCGCAATCAAAACCTGGTACTAAAATGGTCTACCCAGAACCACGTAAAGAACTAAGAAAGCGGCCGCGGCTATTTATGGCTGGGATCGTCCCTTACTAGCCTTCATCTACCCAGGTTTTGATTGTGGCTCAAATGAGCTTCCGGGGACCGCATTGGTTCCTTTTGGATGCACCTTATCCGAGGGTTGATCCTTTTGCTTTGATGGGTTCTCCCCGGCTTTAATGTAGTGCTAGGACGGCAGCAATTTGAGTTTTGAAGTGATTCAAACAACAAGCAAGGGGTCAGCCAGCCTGGCGAGTTGTAGAGGGCAACCTGTACAAACCCCCAACCAATCTCGGACACCTCAAAGGCCGGAATCGGGGGCATCTTATTTCACCAGGTTGATTCTCAGAACGGGGGGCCTCTTAGATTCCGGGTGCCCGAGGGTTCCGATTCCTTTAAACTCAACCAACCAAAAAACATGCCCGCTTTTTTCCGGTCGCAACTGGGCATCTAAGGAGTCCACTGGAGAAGGACACAAATCCCTTTGTTTGGAGACCCCCTCGCAAACCCAAAAAGCAAAAGGCGATTGAGCTGGAATGCAAGGCAGCCTTCCAGGTCAAGCCTTGCGTGGGGTTTTGCAAACCTTCAAGGTCAGCCCAAGTCGGTCGGCTGATTTAAGTTTTCAGCAGGGCGGGTTCTCAAAATGGCTGTGGGTCAAAACCAATGGTATCCCATTTTGGCATTCTAGAACCTATTTTAGTGGTTGGATTGGGATGTTTCCTGGTGGGGGTACGGAAGTTTGACCCTTGGCCAAATAGAGGACCCCCCCGTCCAGCCATCTTTCGGGGCCGCCAGGGTTACTTTAACGCCCACTTTCGGGGTCCCCCAGAAATTGGTGCCCGACCTCTCTCCCGTTTCTTTTTGGCGGGAGGGTTCTCCTGCTAAAATAGACTACAGAAAAAAAGGTACCCTGATTCGAAGCTCTCTACTGGGGGACCTAGCCCAAATCAACAAGGATTGCTTCCCGGAGACTTGCTTCTCAGCCGGCAGTTTTTTCTTCTTTGACATCAATCAGCACCCAAGTGCTGGTGTCGCAGCAAAGGGGCGAAAGCATTTTCTCACTTGCCCAAAGCGAATCGCCCTTCTACTGGTTTGGTACGCTTCAAAATAAAGCTTCAAACAAGTTGCCTTCTTTCCCTCAGTTGAGCAGGGTTCAAAACCTGGTTGTATTGCGATTGAAAGGGGGTGGTCATAAGGGCCCCCTGCGTAAGGAAAACACATGGCAGCGTGAGGCCGCGCCAGCTTTTTTGCGAGGAAAGTTTGTCGCGTAGGCGTAAGCGGATTGTTTTGGTTTTGGGCACCTGGAATGTCTTGGTAGGGGCTCCAACACCCAAAAACGGAATTAGTGCATGTCACAAATGCCTCTTTGAGGCTAGTTAGCTGGCAAAGCGTTGCTGGAGAGTGGAAAACGCAAAAACGAAGTAGTGCGCGCCGCTAATTCGTTTTTGGTTTTGGGCACCAATTAGTGCGCTTCGCTAGTTTGTTTTTGGTTTTGGGCACCTGGAATGTCTTGGTAGGCTCAAACGCCAAAAAACGCAATTAGTGCATGTCACTAATGCCTCGTTGAGGCTAGTTAGCTGGCAAGACGTTGCTGGGGAGTGGAAAACGCAAAAACAAACTAGTGCGCGCCGCTAATTCGTTTTTGGTTTTGGGCACCTGGAATGTCTGGGTAGGGGCTCCAACACCCAAAAACGGAATTAGTGCATGTCACAAATGCCTCTTTGAGGCTAGTTAGCTGGCAAAGCGTTGCTGGAGAGTGGAAAACGCAAAAACGAAGTAGTGCGCGCCGCTAATTCGTTTTTGGTTTTGGGCACCTGGAATGTCTTGGTAGGCTCAAACACCCAAAAATCGGAATTAGTGCATGTCACAAATGCCTCTTTGAGGCTAGTTAGCTGGCAAAACGTTTGGAGTGGAAAGCGCAAAAAGGAATTGGTGTGCGGTTTTTGGTTTTGGGCATTTGGCAGGCTGCTGTTTTTCTTGCTTTTGGGTTCGGCTCCCCGCGGCGCAGCTGTGTGGCACAACTGGCTGGCGCATGCTTTTGGCTGCGCGGTCTGGGAAAGGTCTCGGGCTCGAACCACCAGCTGCTGAAAGGAGCCGGGGGCAAAATGTGGTGCGCGCGCCCGTGCGCGAGCTGTTTTTGCGGGAGCCGCGCGCAAGGTTTGCGCAAGGGAAGCTTATATATATATATATATATAGAGATGCAAGCGCGTAAGAAACCTGTATTGCGTGTAAGCTCGCGCAAGCACCTTGGCGTAAGAGTTCCTTACGACCTAAATTTGAACAATACCTTTGGAACGCCGCTCAGTTGTTCAGTGGCACTTTTTTCCTTTTTTTTTGGTGGCTGCCCCACTAAAAATGGTCCAAGCCCCAAAAAGGGTTCCCTTTTTTTCTCCAGGGTCACTGACCAACTGAGTTCCCGGTTCCTTCCAGCCTAAACGGCGTTTTTGCCGAGCTGGTTTTTTTTTGCGCAGGCAAGGCTTGGTGCGCGGCATCGGCGTGAGCAACTTCACGGCGCAGCACTTGCAGCAGTTGTTGGAGGACGCCGCTTTGAAGTTTGAAGGGAGGACCCGGTCTGCTACAAGTGCTTCTAGAAGGCTTGCACCAAAGCGAAATTTCGAGAAACCTCGGGAGAACGGCCGGTTTTGGGAGGAACGATGGTTGAAAAGAATGGGGAGTCAACCTGTTTTCTTTCAGCATTTGAACGGACCCCACTTGTTCGAGCCCATTGAACAAGTCACCCAAACAGGGATTCCCGAATTTCATGAAAGGGCGATTGTGATAGCTGTGGTAAGGCTAGAATTAGGGGCTTGCCCTTCGAGTAAGACGCTCAAGTTCAGGCACTTCTATGCGCCGCAATGCCAAGCGCTGGAGATCACACTGATGGACCGGCGGATGTTGTTTCATATCAGGTGGAGGGTTTGTTTGCCACAAGGGTGCGTGGTTTTTGAGCATTTACTCAGGCAAGACATAATTGATGGCTTGGATTGGTAACCCCCAAACGCCGAACCGCCAATCCGAAGCACAGATTTGAGGGAAGCTGATTTGTTACTGGAATCCTGACACAAAACCAAACCCCTGCGAGGTTCAGTCTTAGAATGACCAGAAATCTATGGTCCACTCGGTAGGGACATTGGGCACGCACTAGATCTCCTTCACTGTTGTTGCCATTTTTTTGTTTCCGGCTTGTCCGGCTCTCTTCATTTTGAGTGGGGGGCTGCAACACAGACCGTTTTTTGCTTCCATGCCAAGGGTTTGGGGGACCGTCCCCCACAAAAAAAAAAAACAAGCGGTGAAGCGGACGGAAACGGCCGGGCTCCGCCTCGCAGCCTCGAAGCCTCGAAGCCTCGAAGCCTCGCGTCGAGTTTCGAGGACGGGGTGGAGGTGAAGCCCATGGTGAATCAGATCGCCGCAAGCTCAGCCGGGGGTTTGGAGGGGCTCATGTCGTGGCCATGTTCGTCCAAAAAACCGGCAGATATTCTGGTCCTTGGAGGGTACCCGTGTTGGTTTGAAGGGAAAACAAGGGAGAATGATCCAGTTTGAAGGTTCCCTTATTTTGAGACACCCATGTTCGACTTGTTGGGTCATCTTAAAATGAGGGGCCGGCATCCTTTTTCATTAAAACATACCGAAAGAGGATTGCCCTCAGTTCTGCTTGAAACTATTAATGGGTACATAAGGGCGGAACTCGGCACCAAAAACGGCCAGGTTGGAATCCAAGGAGTTCAAAGGTCTGGACATTTGGAGCACCCTCCCAGCATGGATTGGTGCAGGGCTCCCCTTTTTAAAACACAAAACAGGTTTCATCATGGTTTCATCATGGATTGGTGCAGGGCTCCGCTTTAAGGGAGTTTGCGCACATCCATGTTCGGGTCGGAGGGTAAGAAAAGCAAGTGATTGCTGGACACCGGCATGCAGTCCCCAAACAGGTTCCCTTGCCGAAGCGTCATGTCTTTATGGGTGATCTTGAGGTTCTGTGTTGGTGTTGGAAGTGCAAGATCCAGGACTGTTCGATGGGGCAACCCCTCTGGATAGTTTGAGAGGGAAAAGATGAGGCTGCGCAGCTCTATCAAGATGCCCTATATGGCCATGGTTCAAAACCAATGGTACTTTTGTGGGATAGGTGCACCACCCATTTTAGTCTATTTTAGTGGGGATTGGGATGTTCACTGGGGGTACGGAAGTTTGACCCATGGCCATATTGCATTGCTGGGAGTTACCCGCCAAGCAACATGAGCTGGAGCAGCACGGCAGTGGAAGGCTTTTAGAGGTCCGCATGCGTGAAAGGCCCTCCAGGTATCGCTTTGGGAATAGCTTGTGAATCTCGATGCGAGCCCAGTTGTGGGCACAGTTGAGAGAATTTCAGTTGAAGCTGGCAAAGCAGCGGAAGAGATGGAATTCGACCCCAAAGCAGTATGGGTATGTCTTTTGTTGGGGGACCCCCAAAATGGATAGCTTTCCTTTTGGTTTCCCCTTTTAGAACCACAAACAAGGTATCATAGAACGGACACAGCAATCATCATGGGGCCGGGAATCCGGCTTTTGGAATCATAGAAAGTGTTGACACAACCATCAAGTTCCGCTTCCGAGAGACTTCCCCAGGAGGTGCATCCACTCTACCAGCCCTCCGAGCCGAGCGCTCGGCTCTTGAAGTTTCAACTTTCAACCAATTTTTGGGTCTGTTTTGTTGTAAGGGTCCCCTTTTACTTCAAAGGAGCCAAAAGGAAGCCGGATCCCCCCCCATTTGAAATACGCAGCCATTTTGGGACCCCGAATCAAAATCCAAAAGGGGCCAAAAAGCGAGTTTGAGCTTGGACACACAGGGTCCCATGTCCCATGTCCCTCAGGGGGAAGAAGGGACTGTCCAAAGTTTCAATGGATTGATTCCCGCAAAGCAGTGTCACAGGATTGCCCAAGGGTCCGACCGATTGAATCTTACACTCATCTTTTGGGGGAAACCGGGTCTGTGGGAACCCTATTTTGGTTGGTGTTCAAGGGAAACCAAAAGGAAAGCCACCATTTTAGGGGGTCCCATTGAAAAAAAAAACACAAAGACACACCCAAGCGTTCTTAGAGCCATGCTTAAGACGTGGAGTTGGCATTGCTCCTTCAACTCCCTGGAGTGCTTGTGATGTTGAGATATCTAGAGGAACCTCCAAGAATTCGGTTTTCTTTTGGTCCCCCGCCTGGAATCCAAAAGGAAAGGTAATCGTGAAATAAGCACTGTAAGCTTGGATGTGACGTGTGAAACAAACGCAAATAGCTCCTATGAAGGGAGCCATCACCACGGGCCACAGAGTCGGAGCTTTGGCACATGCGCCCGCTGACCGCAAGCCCAAGGACAATCCAATTCTGCCGGGACCAGGGCATTGTGGTGGAGGTGGGCGGGGATTTCGAGGACCCTCTTGGAAAGGGCGGGGCGCTCATGTTTCTTTGGCGTTGTAGGTACGCCCTGGGCACAGGAAGGTCAAGTTAGAAAGACGCTTCCCAAGCGCTGCGCCTGGTGTGTCACATTTGGCAACATCCCCAAACCCTAAAAATTTTACTAGGGGGTGATCCTCATTCCATTCATCATTCCACGTTCCCACAAACGGAATTTGGATCCTCCCCTCACCCCGCTCCTCCTTGCGGCGGGGGGAGTTGGCAACCCGGCGGAGAGCCAGCTGGGTCGCAGCTTTGGTTTTGAGGTGCAACTGAGGAGGTGGTGTTTAAAGGGAGACCAAAAGGAAGCCACCGATGTTAGGGGGTTTTCCTTTGACACATTCCGGCTTCTACGACCTTGTGAGCATGCGACAGCTGAATGATCATATGTCATGAGGAAAGGCGAAAGCGCGAAAATTCTGGGGCCAAGAAGGCCAGAAGGCCAGAAGGCCGAGCTCTTGACCCGTATGGCTCTTTTGCCTCTTGACTCTGGGTGCAACGTGTAGGGGCGGTCGGAGAGGGCACCATTTGCCTGGGGAAACTAATGTCCACGCCACAAATTGTGTGAGGCGCTTCCGATTCTTGGACGTCAGACCCGCATCATCGGCACATGGTATTTTGAGGGTGCAGTTTCGGCTTGTTGCAACTCCGAAAGGAAACCGTAGCCCGTGTATGTGGCTTCATATCCGATTTTGAATCACACCCGCCTCAACACATGACAAACCAGTGGGTTCAGGGCCACTTCTTGTGGTTTCAATAAAATCTCAATCTTCTTTAAAGTGATCATCTCGTCATGGGGGATGGAACTCCCCACGTCGTGCACGGGGGCCTCCGTTGAGGCATATTCCCCGCTGGGCGGCGGCAGTGCGAGTAACCAGGCCAAAGCCACTGGCGGTGAACTGGACGGCACCAGGCGATTGCCGGGGTGGTGGGGGGGCAGGGGTGGTGGGGGGTTCGGCTGATCGGCAACCGGTTCCGCGGCTTGCCGCAAGCAACGGAAAGACGGGTGATTTCCAGCCGGAATGGGCACTGGAATCATTCCCAACAGGTTCTCCGAACCACTGAGCCTTGGTAGAGACCCTATATATAGCTTTCAGCCACCGAAGAAACCCCTGGTTGTTTTGCTTTGGGAGGGTGCAAGCCATTCTGCAGGGGAATCGGACCACCTAGCACCCCCTATAATGCGCCATGATTAATCCAGGGTCAGAATGAACAGTCACATGTGTGTCTACTAAAACGAGCGTAGAATCTGGTAGAAAACCATTCAACTTGGGTTGAACATTAGGGTGCCAAGTCCAGGCTTAAAGGAAGGACCGGGATTCAGACAGGTGGATTTCCGGGCACAACGCATGCCCGGAGACCACCCCTTTGGAACAACAGCTGAAAAATTGGTTTGGCTCATTTTCATTTGTTGGCCACTGAACAAGGTCCAAAGCGAGCAGGGAACTCTAGAACGGGTTGTTTCCTGTTGGCTTTGTGTGAACACCATTGCCCCAAATTTGGAACCCTCAAGCATCAAACAATGCCGCATGCACGCGCACAGACACACACAAACAAGCACACATAAAGACACATAAGCACACAGGAACAAGAAAAACATAAACACACAGACACACACACACAAAAACAAAGAAGAAGAAGCAAAGCACATAAACACACATAAACACATAATTAAACACACAACACCGGCCAACAGCAACAGCAGCATATCTCAAACTGCATGTGCAGGTGCACGTGACACACACACACACACACTTAAACTCCAGATGGAGGGTGCTAATCTTTCGAGTACAACTGATGAGTCTCGAGTACAACTGATGAGTCTCGAGTGGGTGTGGGTTCTGCTCGCGATGCACTCGGCTTCCCTCTAGCAGCGAACACGTTACCCGAAAGAACAAGAAGCACAAACAGCGCCGCAACCAAGGGGGCCAAAAGGACTTTGCATCACACGAAATGCACAGGTACGTCGAGGTGATCAGCCTCGATATCACAGGACAAGTGCGGCGTCTTCGTTGGATGCCGACCGCACAGGTCCCCAGCATCCCCCTGCGGTAAAAGTGAAAGCCTGAAGTTGGTGACAGGGTATTCTGTCACTCCGCACACACACGCCCCTCAAAGAGGGGCGAGTACCACTTTTTCGGGGGGAGAAAAAAACACGCGCCCCAAAACCGGGCGAAGACCCCAACAGAAAACAAACGGAGCAAGGGAGCCCAAAAGAAACAGAAAGGCCCCAGGTTGGGTCACCGCGGGCAAAACCCCAAACAAGAAACAAGAACCACGGGGAAGCCAGGTTTCGGGTCTCCGAGGGCAACAACCCCAAACAGCGCAAAAACGACCTAGACCTTGTAGACGAAAGGGGCCGCGAAGGCAAAGAGGCAGAAGAGGAACAGGCCATCCCTAACCGGGCGAACAGGAAGTACAAGAGATAGCCCAGAGAGGGAAAGAAAAAGAAAGGAAAGAAAAGAAAGGGACGAAAGAGAGAAAGAAAGAGAGAGAGAGAGAGACAGAAAGAGAGAGAGAGAGAGAGAGACAAAAGCGTATTTAGGGCGTCGCAACCGCCCGGGGGGAAAAAGAAAGGAGCAGGGTGCGTATTTAGGGCGCCGCATCCCGCCCGGGAAGAAGGAACAAGAAGCAGAAGGCAAGGAGACAAAAAGGAGAAAAGAAGGAAGAAGGAAGAAGGAAGAGGAAGAGGGAAGTAGTAGTATGCGTTTTTAGGGCGACGCATCCCGCCCAGACAGGAACAGAGGATGAAGACCAAGGCTCGCGGAGGAAGACGTCGAATCCCACACAGGGGCCAAGAGGACGGACACGAAGTAGCAACGGAAGGGGAAGAAGACGTCAAGCCAAACTACGTGAGGAAGAAGAGGAGTAGGAACAGGAAGACAGACACGAAGACGAAGACGAGGAAAAAGGTGAACAACGCGAGGACAACCAGGCCATCCCTAAGCGGGCGAACAGGAGGGGGACGAACGCGCGGGTCACGAAAGGCAGCAAAAAGAGAACGGGAGGAAGGAGAAGCCATCCCTAGGCGGGCGAAGAACCAGAAGACGGGCACGCGGATGAAGAAGGCGAGAAGAAAGAACGTAGGGTGAGACGTAGCTATGATCTGACGGCTGTCTTCCCTTTAGTGAAACCTCGTTCCTGATTAAATCTGAAATTCCGCTGTTCTATGATAAGCACGTTGAGGTCAAATTTTCCGACAGAGCCGGCCCGGGGTCACACAATGGGTACACCCGAGGATTCCCCACGAATGGGGTGTACACCTAATCTTTCGAGTACAACTGATGAGTCTCGAGTACAACTGATGAGTCTCGAGTGGGTTGGCTCGCGATGCACTCGGCTTCCCTCTAGCAGCGAACACGTTACCCGAAAGAACAAGAAGCACAAACAGCGCCGCAACCAAGGGGGCCAAAAGGACTTTGCATCACACGAAATGCACAGGTACGTCGAGGTGATCAGCCTCGATATCACAGGACAAGTGCGGCGTCTTCGTTGGATGCCGACCGCACAGGTCCCCAGCATCCCCCTGCGGTAAAAGTGAAAGCCTGAAGTTGGTGACAGGGTATTCTGTCACTCCGCACACACACACACGCACCCACGGCCCACAGCCTTTGTCAGGTGCTCGGCCTATCTCCCCCTGCCAGGCTGCTTCTGACGCACCCCGTGGTGCTGTCGGCCGCGGCGAAGGCGCAGAAGTCGGCGGCGCAGGTGCTGCTACGCTGGGCCTTGCAACAGGACTCGTGTTTGCGCACCGGGGTTTGCTTCTCACCATCAACTTGAGCTTCCGGGACTCTGATTAAAAGCGGAAAAAGCAGTCCCAATTTGGCGGATTTTCCACTGGGTCCCCCAGCGATTGGTGCCCTTTCTCACCCGTTTCTTTTTTTGGTTGGGAGGGTGCCCCTACTAAAATAGACAAACAAGGAAAAAAGTTGGCACCCTTATCCTAATCTCTCGACTGGAGGACCTAGTCTATGTCAAGACTTCACTTTGCCTTTCAAGAGATTTCGGTGGCTCGAAATTGTTCGATGGGAAACCCCTTCTCTGGTGGTTCAAAGCTTGACAAGGGGGGGGTCCCTAAACACAGGCACGTCATGTTCCCCTGTTTGTGTTAAGGGAGTCTATCACTGAAAAAAAGTGTTTTGTCCAATTGACGTGATCTAGTGGAGGGGCACGTGGCATATTTTGTGGCAGACCAACTTTTGCGGGGCCACGTTTTGCGAAAATGTTGTTGTGTCTTGTCCCGCTGTTGTATTTTAGGAATCTATATAACTACTGGGTATATGTTGTTTGCTCTTCTTTTGCCCAGGGGACGTATCCGCAAGTGGAGGGAATCTGAAAAGATGAGTCGGCCCCGCAGTGCCTGAACATTTTCATGGGAACCTCGAATGGTTTTTATGTGGGTCGGGTGGGTCTCTTCGGGAGGGAACCTGTCTCGGGTTTCCGCCAAAGAGAGGTCAGGGTTTCGGCGAGTTCTTTGGATAGCTTGGGTTTGGGTTCCACATTCCAAGATGTGTTTGGTTTGCATAACCACCAATATGGATTGGGAACCCGAATCTCCATGTCTACCACATGTCACCAAAAAGCAAACCAAACATATTGTGACTGTATCTTCCATTTGCTTCAGACCTTGTATTATTCCACTCTTAGTTTTTTTGAGGGAATCTATCACTTCTAGATTCTTGTCCCAGAAAAATTAGGCAAATGGAATCTATGTGTAGAATGGTTTTCCTTGTGATTTCCCTCCAAAATCCCCAAAAAAAAGGGCGTGCCCCTAAAAATCGACGAGTTAGAAGCCGGAAAGTTTTGATCGGCTTCTGGTCCGTCAGGACTTCCTGGTGATCCCCCGCAGCAGCCAGCCCCAGCGCATCCGGGAGAACCTGCAGGTCTTTGACTTCAGACTCTCGGAGGAGGAGATGAAGGCCATCTCCGCGCCTCGGTTTGGTGGCTGGGCTACGTGGAAGCGGATGGATGGCGTGTTTTTTTTTTTTTGAGGGTACCTTGGTGGGTAGAGTTTCAGAAGGACACCAAAAGGAGGCCACTCATTTGGAGGGGGGGGCTAATTTTGAGACAAGCCCATGTTCTGCCAAGTGGTTGGCCACTTGGGGTTTGTCGTCCCTTATGGTTGACCCCAAATAGGGGAACATACAAGGTGATAACCCAGGTTCATGACCAACAACTAAATAATTTGACCGACCAAGTAGGGCTTGTTTTTTGGAGGAAGCCTCGCGTTTTGGGTCTGCAAACGGGCGGCTCTAAAGAGAAACCGCGGCTTTAAAAGGGACAACAAAGCTAGCCATGTTGGAGGTTCCACCCCGACTTTGTCTAGTACTTTGCATCCTTTACAACGAAGCCTTAAAAGGGACTTCTTCAGTACAAGACAGGTGACCGAATTTCGTCCGAGATCGCAAATTTTGGTTAGTTTTCAAGTGACCTGAACGAGGTATCGGCTTATGATCGATTTCAGAGACGACGGTTCCAATCTGAGGGCACCAAAAAGGGGTACCAACTCAAAACGACAGACCCATGTTGTATTTGAGGTAGGTGAATCATTGTTTCATTGAGATGAATGGGTCGAAGACTCGGCACTCGGCGAGCACCTTGCCATGGGGGTGGAAGCGGCCGCAGGTCTGATTCTTTTGCATGGTTTGTTGGTCGACTTTGTTTCAGGTAACTAGCTGGTGGCTTGGATCGGTGGGAACTCGGGATTTGAACCCCTGGTTTTTGAAGAGGGTAATTGGGAAACTCCCTAACCATCAAATCTCCAATCCAAAAGCACCAATTAGAAGGGAGCAGATTGCTACCGGCTTGACTCACAATGAGCTTGACCCTCTTTAGCTCATGCCCAAAGTCCAAAGCGAATCGACCTTTCAACCTTTGGGTTCCCTGACTTGGTCGATCTAGGGCCCCAAAAGCTTGACCTTATGTTTCTGGGTCCCGCCCGGGCAACTTAGATATTCGAGTATTGGAGAAGGTCGAAGGGAATTTCAAAAATGACGCAAAAGTCAGACACACGACATGTAGAAGACAGCGATACTTAGAGGCATCTGATTCTAAGTATTGAAGACTTTGGACGACGGAAGCCAAACATGCTTGTGCCAGAACTCGGAGTTCAGAAGCAACGTCGCTCAGACGCGCTACATACTATGGGCCAAGAATCGCCAAGAGTTCAAGCCAACGTTTGCCACATGAAGGATCCTCGCATAGAGGTGTTGCCAGTTCGGTTTTTGGTTTGCTTTTTCTTCTGTGCGAGAGCCTGTGTCTGGATCGCCAGCGTCGGCTTTAGGGATCCGTCAGCCGAGATGCATTCGGCTGTGCCGTTCTCCTTGGTTTCCTTGCAGACTGAGGAACGGAATGGTCAGACGAAACCAGGACCAAACCCGATTCTAGCTGTCCCTATGATTCCATTTCTCTACTTTCTAGGCAACTGGGATCCACTGGCTGTACCCCCCTCCTCTTGAAATGGCCTTCCTTTGGTTGCTTTGAAAGGGAAGCCACAGGGACCATTGTTGGGGATCCAACTCCTACCAAGTTTCGGACCATGGCGCGCATTTCAGAAGTGGAGAGCCTTGAGCTAAGGAGATCGGAAGAGATCAGAAGTTCTGCTGGGATCCGAAGACCGTCTCTTAGAAAGAGCTGCGCAGTCTTGAGGCACTGCAAACCACGAAACGGATAAAGCAACCCCAGTTTATTGAAGGGAATGTAAACCACCCATGAATCAACCCCAGTTTATTTATAAAGAGGGGGGTGGGGGCCCCTCCAAAAGTGACGATTCCTCACTAAGCCCAGGGACACCCCTCAAGTCATCTGGGGGCATCCGTCTGCTCAAGTTGGACCCGCTCGGGCGAGATGAACATATCTTATACGCAATGGCTGGGGAATCCCTCATTTGGGTCCGTGTGTGGTTTCTTAGGGCTGGGGTTTTGTGAAGGAACTAACAAACCTCACATTGTGGTTTATTCGGGTACCTTTTTGGTTTGTTGTGTAAAGGAACTAAGAAACCAATCATTTGGTCCTATTTCGACTTGAGAATGATAAGTTCCGCATCCGGGAATCGTGCTTTGGCTCCGAGCACCGTGAAGAATCGAATTGGGGGGCGGTTCGAGGCGGATTTTGTGAGGAAATCCGTTCGCACCACTTTGAAACCATGTTTGAATCCATTGTTTGTTGGTATTTACAGGGAATCAGACCATTTCAGGCTTTCTTAGGTCGTGCGGGGTTTCGTCCATCCACAGTATCACCGTGAGTTTTTGGCGGTCCCCGCATGGGTTTTGGGTAGACCACAGGCAACTGCATGTGTTTGCATATGACGCAGGCTGTTTGGTAAATGCCAGACGGCCATTTCGGATGACCCCCGGGATTGATCAGGAGTTTGTGGCCAAATGAGCTCAAGCGTACCCAAAGCGGACTCGATTGGCCTGCAAATTAACCGCAGGAATCCCAAAAGAGGTTCCTCCAAAGTGTCATTGAGGTTCCCCCAAAGTCCCCAGCAGGGGATGTTGGGTTTCCCTGGCCAAACGCAACCATCGAAAAACCGTTCAAGATGTCCCACTGCTTTCTGTGTCCCAGGCAAACACGTCTTCTTTGTTCAAGTTGACATGGGGACAAGTCATTTTCCAGGGGGGCCCTCCAAAAGAAACTTGAACAGCCCACCATGCTTTGTTTTGCAGAAAACCCCTCCAAAAAAAATGACGCACCCCACACAGCATGCTTGGCCACTGGCCCTAGCCGCCGTTTTGGCGCCATGGATGTGGGGGCGTACCTGAAGGATGCTTTGGCCGTGCTGCTGGAAGTGCGGCCAGCGAATCCCCACCTGCCACTCGCCTCTGATGGCTTGGAAGGATTGTAGCCATGGGACACGTGGAAAGGGTGGGTCAATCCACGCCTTTTCTTTGACTTGGCGCCCTTGGTTGTTTATTTTTGTTTTTTGGTGGGGTTGAAGTGGAACCAAAAGGGGAAACCGAAGCAAGCTGTGTTTGCTTGTTTGTTGTGTTGTAAAGACGAGCCACCCACTTGGTTTTGGGACACCCAAAACATGGGCTTAGGATTCACCCAAGACAATAGGTCACTGAATTGGGCATCCATGTTTGCAGATGTTAGTGAAATCTGCAGAACCATGGGACACCCACAGCATCCCAAAATGCTGGATTTGCAGGTTCCGGGTCACGATTAGGTCTCAAAGTGGCTTAAAGGTAATTGGGCCGCCTAAATTCCTGGTTCCTTGTACTTTCCAAATAACACGTGTTTGCCTGGGACACCAAAAAGGACGCCGGGAACCCAAAATTAACTTGGAATCTTCGACACTAGTTGGAGTCTTCGGACATATCCCAAAAGTTGCTTGGTTTTACGATAGTTGCCTTTTGGCCGTGGGAACCTAACATCAGCAGCTTTTTTGGCCTCAAAGGTCCTTTTGGGTTTTCTCAATGGCCCTGTTAACCAGCAAACACTTCAATGAAAACACAGGGCCCTTTGATAAAATGTAAAGTGGCCGTTTGGCATGTAGTGCAGTTCTCAAAATGTCATAATTTGAACCCTCCGTGAAAGCTGCCCCACCCCGAACGAGCCTTAGGCAAAGACCAAATCCATACTGTAGCTTGCAGCCGTTGGGGTAACTTCGATTTGCTGGAGATTATTATTTTTTGTTTAAAGGGAATCTATCATTGGACATATTCTTGTATTTTTCCTGGGAACGAAAGCGCAAATGAAAGTAGCGTCCCCACAAGGCCGATCACCTTCTGGGGGCGCCCCTTTACCGCCCCAAAAGGGCGGTCAACGAACGCAAAGGGAAAGGTCAACCCCACGCGAATTCAACGGGGGAACGCCTCCGCTTTGCGAGGTTTCTGCTGGCCTACTTCCAGTGGGCTTCGCATCCGGAGAGCTTGGAAGGCTTGGCGTGGTACCTGCTGAAGCTTGCCCAACATACCCCTCAAACACGCAGATCCGTTTCACGGAGGTGTTTGGCGTGGGGTCGTTTTTGTTTTTTTCGCCCAACCATAGGTCTCCTTTTAGGTTAAGTTGATTATAAATAGATGGCACTAGTTTAAATGTGTTTTAATTCATTTGCCAGCGCCATCTATTTTACTAAAAGGACACCTATGATCCCAACGGTGTGGGTGCGTCACAGGCGTATTTTGGATGCATTTCCGGTTGATCTGGCGCCCTTTGAGGCGTTGGCCATTCTTCGAAAAAGGGTAAAAGGCACGCACACAGACAGACGCACCGACCTGCCGGGAAAGTTCAACTGTGTGGCCCCATGTCTTGTTTTCACTTTGGAAGGCCCTGAAGCCTAAAGGGGGCCTTCCAATACGGTAGCTTCTAGTAGAGAAAAGGAAGTTACATGTAGTTTGAAGGGGGTGATGCCCTCAAAAGTTGTTGGTGGACATGAATCCCAATGTCAAATGATGTCAAGCAAAGCGGCAATTGCGATTCATGATTCATAACCCAATGGTTGTTAGGTTCCGGGGCCCAACAGGGACCTTAGCAGATCTCATAAGGCCCCTTTTTCAGAACATTGACAGTCAATTGGAGTTGCGCCATAGGCCTGAAATTCTATTCGCTTAACCTGTTTTTCTTCTTCTTCTTCTTCTTTTCCTTTTTCCGTCTGTACTATACCGAAAGAAGTCGTCAGGCGGAGGAAAGAAATCTGCGTCTCTTTCATAGGCTGACAAGGCGACCAACCAATTGCTCAATTGCCGGGGGCTGCTTTCGTCTTGGGACTCTCCTGTGTCTCCAAGGGGTGTCCCCAGCTGACCCAGCATCTGCTTTTCTTACAAATGGTAAAACCCAGAAAGGGAGAACCCCCAATGGTCAACCGAGACTTTTAGAGTCATGAGGGGTTTATGTCATATCCGCGCTGAATGTTTGACTTTAAGGAAAGGCCGGCCTTCAGGTCATTTGTCTGACGGAAGAACTGTAAACGCCCATGGCTGAGGAAGGCGTGCCCGCGCACCCGCGATTGCTTCCAGGACGTGCGCCGCAGTTTGGCCGGAAAAAGCTAATAGGCCATTGCCTATGCATGTAACAAAGATCTGACTCCGTTGGGATGAGTTTGAAACGAACTCATTTTTTTGCAGGGTCCCATGAGGTTCTACTCCACCCAAAGGCGAACTTCGAATCCTTAGTAATCAAGTTCATATGTTAGCTTGTGGTGTTACAAGTTTTTGTTTGTTAGGTCCTTCGGACATTGTCATGGTCAACAAGATTTGCTCACAGAGTGAGGATGGTCGGATGGTCACTACGCCTTCTACAAAACTTGGTGGTTCGCAGCCATCCCCTTAGCCTTTTAGCTTCTTAGTGTTTAGTGGGGATTTCCATAGGACTGCCCAGATAAGGATGCGAAACCATTTCCAGCGTGAGGTTTCTCGGGCTTCCTCACATGCATCCGCCCTCAAGTGCTACACCCCTCTATGAATCAACAAGGAGGGTTACATATCCCGGGCTCCATTCGTGTGCCTTGTTTGTGGTTCCCTTTAAAGCAAAGTACCAAACACAGGGTCTTTGTACGTGGCTGTGTCTCTATTTTAGGGGGCCCCCCAAATGGCTTCGGTTTTCCCGCTGGTTGCCTTTTTTTTCCACCCAGAAAAGGGTAATTACCCCAAAAAGGGCACTGTCAGGAGCTTCTGGGTGCAAATGATTCGTTCTTCCCCCGGCGAGGACCACTTGCACACGGCCTACACCTGCCTCAAGGGGAAGTCTGAAGCTGCTTCCCACCAGGCACAGCTTTGAGCGCGCAGCCGTACTCCTCTTTCATTTGGGTGTGGCTCAAAATTAAACAGGAGGGGTTACGCAGGTGTTGGTCAATGTTTCCACTTACCAGGGATCCATTTTGGTACCGGTTTTTTGAGCCACTGCCATTTGCTTAAGAAGATGTGCTAGTTTCCCCTCTTGGTTTTGAAGGACTTCTCTCACTGCTGAAAATGTGCTTTGTTTTCTCCAGGGGACTCAAGTTCATGGGGGTCCTTAGGGGTCTCCTTCGAAAGGGTTTCATGATTTGAGGTGGACCAAAAGTGAAACCAATTCTGAAGATATGTTTGGCCTATAGGGTTGCGCCAAGCATTACTTGTCTTCATAAAATTGGGAAGCCCTTGGAACATGGGTTTCTGAAGAGCACCAAGAGTATGGGGAGCCCTTCAGCCCTCCCTTGGCCGCATGATTTGTCATCAGGTTCGCTAAATATGCCCATGGTTCGCTTGTCCAACCCCTCCAACAAGTTGCAACTCCATCTCAACCTACGGGTCAGTGAAAATAGATGACGCAGTTCCCGCTTGTAGGTTTCACGGTCCCCGTACTTGCCGACAGATTAGATATGGGTGCCATCGACTTTCCCCCTAGTGCAACCGTCTTGGAAGCTCCCGCCAGGTGTGGGACAAAAAGGTTCGAACAACAAAACCGACCTTCCAACTCAAATCAAAACCCCTTCCGTTGTGCTTCATCATCCAAATAGTGCGACGGCCACAAGATTATCATCATGTTTTAGGTGCTTTCTTTATTTGGGAATGTTTCAGTTTTGTTTCACGTCTTTCTTTATTATTTCCTGATGTGTGTCTTCCTTTATGTCTGTCTGCCTTTGTTGCACTCTTGTGTGTTCTCTGTCTTTATGTTGTTCTTCCTTTTTATTTCTGCGTGTATAGTATCTGGTTGTTTGCTTGTGTGCTTGCTTGTTGGCTTGGTTTGCATTGTTGTGTTGTCTTGGTTGGTTTGGTTTGGTGTTGTTTCGTTTGTTTTGATTTGGTTGTTTGCTGCGTTTGTTTGTTGTTTGGTAGGTTGGTTGTGTGTGTGTGTATTTGTTTGTTTGTTTGGCTGATTGTGTGTTGTTAGCTTGCTTGCCTTGCCTTGCCTTGCCTTGCCTTGCCTTGCCTTGCCTTGCCTTGCCTTGCTTTGCTTTGCTTTGCTTTGCTTTGCGTTTGCTTTGCCTGCTTGCTTGCTTGCTTGCTTGCTTGCTTGCTTGCTTGCTTGCTTGCTTGCTTGCTTGCTTGCTTGCTTGCTTGCTTGCTTGCTTGCTTGCTTGCTTGCTTGCTTGCTTGCTTGCTTGCTTGCTTGCTTGCTTGCTTGATTGCTTGTGTGTTTAATTGTTTGTTTGGTTGGTTGGTTTGTTTGTTTGTTTGTGTGTTTGGTCGGTCGGTCGGTCGGGCGGTCGGTCGGTCGGTCGGGCGGTCGGTCGGTCGGTTGGTCGGTCGGTTGGTTGGTTGGTTCGTTGGTTGTTTGGTTGTTTGGTTGGTTGATTAGCTGCTTGGTTGTTTGGTTGTTGTTTGTGTGTGTGTGTGCGTTGGCTTAGCTTAGCTTGCTTTGCCTTGTTACCTTGTTCTCTCGGGCGTGTCTTCCTTACGCCTGTTTCAAAGCGCCCAAGTTGTCAACTCATTTCGGGTCCCATGTTTTGTTGCTGGTGCTCAGTAAGAAATGAGGGAATGACCCCTATAAACCATCCCTTGCGTCTTGCTTTGAGGGGACCTCCTGGGTTCATTCCCTCATTACTTGGCTATGGGTCAAAACCCCGTACCCCCAGTGAACATCCCAATCCCCACTAAAATCGACTAAAATGGGTGGTGCTACCCCAAAATGGTACCATTGGTGTTGACCCACGGCCACTTACTTATCGCACCAGCAAAGTTTTTTCGCCCGCGAATCTTTCATCGCCTTTCGTCGGCCGTAGGCGTGTGAGGGCCTGCTGCAAAGTCTCGCTGCCCCTCTGCCCATCACCCAGCAGCAGCACCTTCTGCGACGCCTCCGCGCCGTGAGCGACGAAGGCGCGCGCTTGGAGCGAGCTCGTGCGCGCGCAACGCGGGGGAGGGGTTTGGGGTGTGTCGCCTTTGGTTTGGGTTTGGGGGGGGGTGGGGGCGGGGGGGGGTAAAGGGAAAAGGAGAACCTGGTGTGTACATTTGTTCTTTTTTGTGGGTACCATAAATTCAGGAAGTAATGTTGTATATACCTCTTTGTCGGGCTGGTTGTGGAAACTGCACCTGGTTGGCCTGGAAAAGACACACTGTCTAAACGCCCGCTGTTTGAACCGGACAACTCTATCCGAAGGCCCCCTCCCCCCGTTGCTCAAGAGGTTCCCACGTTGTTCCTTTCGCGCGTGGGTTTCCCTTCAAACCTTTAGACTTAGGACGGTTTCCGCTACCCAATTGATACCAGAGGGTGCATGCGACATGCAGAAATCTACAATTTGTGACCCTGGCAAAACATGTTGCTCTTTGTCTCTTTTGTGTAGCTCTTGTTTTTTCCTGTTTTGCCTTTGGGGAATGCCCACGGCTCGCTGTGTGTTTTTCTGCTTTCAGGTGGGCGCGTGGGATTTCGGGACTTCTGCGAGGTGGTGGAGGAGTGCATCTTGACTGTTTTTTTTTGGGGGGGAGTTTGTTTTTCTCCGATGGATTCGCCATTTTACCAGGTGCTTCGACTAAGCATATAGGGGGGGCTCTGTTTTGGGGGTCCGAACGATTATAAGGGGAAACCAACCTGAAAGCCGAAGCCATTTTGGGGTCGCCTAAAGAAGAGCACACCCATTTGCTGATTCGGAGCCAATTCGCAAGGGGACCATTGCAGCATAGTGACTAGTGGCAACTAGCAACTATGGGCCATTTCGGACGGGCCATACCCTTCTCATTTCTCCCCTTAGGGGTAGCCAACATACTAACGTGCCTTGCGATGCCAACGGAATCCTCGTTCAAGTGATAAAGTAGTCCTGTGGGTGGCCCACTTTGGTATCACAGAAAATACTGTTGCCCACAGCCCATGTCCTTAATCCATTGAGATGGGAAAAGCAAATCGACAAACTCACATAGCGATCTTAGTGATTCGGCCTGGGAGAGAGGAGTCCGGGCCCCATGATGAAGGTATGAATTAGTGCAGATTCGTGATGTGTTGGTTGCTGTGTGCAAAGTCCTTCTTGGTGGCTGCTGGTCTTTGAACATTCCCAAGAACTGTATCTTAAAGTAAGGCAAGGATCCGCATGTAGACTGATCGCGAACCAAGGGAACAAACCATAGCCCCCTACCTTCAGGAAAAGCACGGTGGGCCAGTGAGGCTGTTAAACAACTCTTGCGTAAAGCCAACCATGTTGAGTCGCCGTTCCTTTTGACACATGACACATACCCATGTTGTGGGGACACGATCGTTGGTTGTTTTGGTTCAGTGGGACGGAACCATGTCGACCCTGAGTGAGGTTGCAGGATTGAAACGGGATCCATCAAGAAGCATGCAGGAACCAATCGCAATAGGGACACTACCGTGCCGGGGTCGCGGCAATGGGAGCACAAGCGCCCATTCATTCAAGTTCCCTGCGCGACCCAGGACATTGCACCTCATTCGCCCGTTTTGACGTGAACGCATCATTTTGTCCGTAGCTGTGACGGGAAATGTGTGTGTGTGTGCTGCTTGGGGGCAACCTTTTTGGTTATTTCATTCAAGGACACCGAAAGGAAACCAAAGACCTGCTCTCGGGGCCGGAACGAGTTGGCCCGATGTCTGCTTGTTTCCCATCACGAAAGTGTAACATGAAATTGACTCGGCTGTTCTTCAAACACTCCACCATGAATATTGTGCTTTTCACGGGAATCTAGATATGATACAAAAGCATGGGGGGGGGGGGGGACTCTCTTTTGGATGATGGCCAGCGAGAAACCAGAAGGACAGCAATCTGTTGGGGTCGAAGCACCCCTACAACACGGCACCTGGGCATGCTTCAGAGCGGCAGGCTGTCAGGAAGCAACCGAACGGGCTCGAATAATGACTTGATGTTTGGAGGCAAAAGCCATTCCAAGTTACTCCATGCTGCTGGATTAATTTTGGGCCGCCGTATGAAACGCTCCATCTCCCCAACGTGTTTGCCAGCAAGAAAAGCTCCTGTATGTTCTGTCCCTTTGGGGCTAGCTCAACAAACGTTGTGCTCCCAGCAGGTGTTGGCCCGTGTGAGGGACAGCTCCTCCCGCCCCTCCCGCTGTGTCCCTCCGCCAACAAGGCAGCTGGATACGGACCCTGTGCTGCACATTCCCTGGAAGGGAGTCAGCGTACCCAACTCTGGAGCCAACACGCCGCCCTAAGCGGCTCCATTTTTCCTTTCGTGACTAGAGCAACTACTTCCAACTTCAACAACTTTCCAAAACCTACGCCCTTAGTCCCAGCCTTGATCCCCCAACTCTTTTCGGACATATCCAGCCTCCAGACTGAAAAGCCATTTCGCACACTTACCCGGAAAGCCGGCGCGAGTTGCCCCCCGGCTCATGTGTACTGCGACTGCCATGGAGTGTGTTTACTAGTTCTTAGGTTGAAACCAACAGGACCGCCGATGTTGACACTAGCTATGGTTGGCACAGTGCTGGAAGACCAACAGTCAGGTTGAACTCATTTCAAGGGTCCAGATTGAGTTTGACGCACACATCCTATGTCCGGGGGGACGCCTTCTTTTTTGCTCCTTGGTACATAGCTGAGCACCTAAGGCATGGAAGCCAACGAAGATCTCGAAGGAGCGTGGAAAAGAGAGAGGGAGGGGCTAACTTGGCGTTTCCCAGTACGGTTGCGACTTTAAGCTGGCTGGTCTTAGGCATTCTGGGACCAGCGAATGAGAAGGGGTTATCCGTGGTTGTCTATTTTACCGCGGTTTTCATGAACCTGGACTTTATACTTTCAGAGTTTGGAGGGATTTGAAGCTCTCCCGCTGAAAGATTGCTGTCATTTTACACCTTTGCCTTCAGCTAAACATATCATAGGAAAGATTCATTCATAGGTTTGAGGTTGAACGTTGGCCAAGCTGAGTCATTCCATGAGATTCCGGCTTCGGTTGACGTTTTACAGTTGTTAGAATTCTGACTACCGGGGCCCTCCAATACTTCCCTGCTAGTCCTAGGTGTGGGGGCATGGGAAACCCAGTTTCAATGTACAGGTAGACCCTTGACCTGGTAGAGAAAGTGAGTAAGTGGGAGTCACGCAAGTAAAGTAAGTGAGCAAGTGAGCAAACATTTGTACCCAATTTAGTGAGTCAGGTGAGGCAAGGCGAGGTAAAACGTGGTTCTGACTCCAGTTTATCACCCCTGGCATTAGCATCAAATTGCAACGACGTTGAGCGCGTTGCCGTGACATTTTTGTGAATTCTGTTGAACTCTGCCACTCTCTTGCGCGCTTGTTTGGTTTGGTTGATACCTTGTTTAAGTGCCCGCAGCTAAAAGTCCTCGATGTTTGCCTCTTTGGTGCAAAATGTGTTCAGGATCTGATTGATTAGTTGCCTTAGCAAGTTGTTCAGAAATTGACTGACCGGCTCCGATTTGTGCTCACGAAGCTCTGTCAGTTGACATATTGATTGTGGCAGCCCTGAGTTGAACGCCCAGAATGGCAATCTGAAAACCCAGTGAGATGCAATGATTCAACTGACCAAGCTCCTGAACACACAGCTGTGGGTCAAAACCCTGCACCCTTGGTGAACATCAAAATAGGTGGTACAGCATAGGTTATGACCCATGGCCAAATCAGATCCAATGGTTCAATAGGTCAAACATCATTGCGCCTGACTGATCAAGTCCAAATCGAAACGATTACGGCCTGGATCAACGGCCGGCCAAAGAGTCTTCTTCTGTGCATTTTGCTTGGATGTTAGGACTTTAACTTTTTGCCAACTAATGGCTTTTCCATCAAACCACTAAAAGTTAACCTTTTAGCAGGGGAGCAGATTTCGCAACCGAGCGTCGTATCACAGAAGCCCAAAAAGCTTACGAGCTCTGGCCCGTTGCGTTGGCAAACTTTGAACATGTTGGCAGGTTTCTCCATGATTTTGATGAGTTGGTGCCCAGCAGGGAGTTACCCAGAATTTTAAAAATGAACCTGGGGAGTCCCTTCAAGAAAACCATAGGGGATGGTTTGGATAGAGGTCAATCCCTCATTCCCTGCTGAGAACCAGCAAGATTAGCCAGTCAACTCTGATAGGCCGCCCAGATAAAATGTCAATTGTTTAAACCATGAGAAGTGGATCGACCCCGCTGCTAGGGAACTACACGGACAACTGAAATCCCATCAGGGAAAGACCAAAATATAGAAAAAGCAAGAAAGCAGCAGAAAATCATCCGAGAAGAGAATGTAGATCAAAGAAACACAAAGCAGAAGCCCAAACAAGTCAAAGCAAGCCAAGTAGCAAGACAAATAGAAATCACAGAAGACGCTCAATGCACGGCGCAGGTACGCAGGCGCTGCTGCATGCCTGCAACCACCCGGAAACCGCGCAGCTCAAAGAGAGCCTGCAAGGCGGGGCTATGTTCTTCTCCAAAGTGAATATCATTGCTTCATCGCTGGGTTAATTTGCAAAAAAGTGACCTAGGTCTAATTTTCAGAAATGACCAACACCCCGAAATAAGAAGCAACAAAAGCATATCTTCATTTGCAGTTGTTGCTGCGCACGGGCCAAATCCATTGTTTGGCATCAGTTGGGATTCGTGGTGACCCGATGGAGTATTCATAGGGGCCTCGCGGCCGGCCCTGAAAGCCCCACTCGATGGGATATCTGGAACTGAGCCACAATAAAAACCTGGGTAGATGAAGGATAGTAAGGGAAAGACCCAGCCGGAAATAGTTGCAGCCTTTCTAATTCTATACACGGAACCAGGGGTTCACCATTTGTGTACCGATCGGTTTTGAGCAAGTGACTCAACTGTCCCCAGGAGTGTGCCGCTTTATGGAGTCGGCACGGAGCCCGAGCAAGCGAAAGGATCTTTTTTTTGGGGGGAAGGCGGGGTGGGGGCGGGGGCGGGGGTGGGGGGGTGGGAAGGGGGGGGGGCATGTTTTGGCAAACCTAAGATGTGGTTGTTCTAAACCGGTAGAACCGCCGGTTTGGGAGGTGGGCATGGGTTTGGCTTTGCCCCTGTCGGGTGCAAGAGGTCGGAGAGGCCTGGGCTCGTGTGGTCCAGTCGTGCAAATGGTTGCTTTCCTCCAAAGAGAGAAGAAGAGAAGACTGCTCCAAGCCTTCAACAGATGACTGAAGCACAAGGGTATTTGGTTTCCTTTGGCTTTCTCCGGGCTAAGTCTCTACCCTTCCGAACGGATCTGTGGATCCTTGTGATGCTTTAAATTGAACCACACATCCTGGCTCCACCCTTATGTTCCAGTGTTGCCCACTTTCTGAACCCGCCGAAGGCATGCACAGCCACGTGTCAGACGCGAGCGTAATGGAACTTGTGACAGGCCTCGGCAAAAGGATCGCAGGGTGCGGGCTACTCTCAACAAAATGGTCGGTTTCTAGTCGCTAGGATCTTGTCAGTTCATCGGTTTGCCCTCTTGCCCCTTTTTCGGGGCATGCATTCCTCTTCCATTGGCAGGTCCTTTTGTCAAATCAAGATTGTCCTAAACTGAGAGACTACAAATGTCACAGTTTGCTTTTGTCCGTCCAAACTATAGGATTCCTAACCCAAAACTGATCTCTGGCTTCGGCATCTCAAAATGGCTTGTTCCAAAAGAATCCTCAATCCTCATTCACTGCTGTCGCTTGTTCTTGTGACCTACGGAAAGTCGGGGAAATCGCTTAAAATCGGCCTCCCGCCGTTGAACGAACCGCCCGAGGACAGGCCTCGACCAGAATCCGAGGTCGATTTGCCTCTCCGCCAAGAGATCTGCCATCTGCTGCCGGCCTTGGGTGCGCGCCCCCAGAGCCGAAGAACCACAAGGGGTGCCTATGCCAGCACCGCCCGATTGCTGCCATTGGCATCACTTAGGGGTAAAACACACAACTTCACTTTTGGGCTAAGTGATGCTTTGCTGAATTTCCACAAATCGGACAGATATACGAGGGCAGAGGCGGGGCAAAAGGGCAGTGTGACCAGAGTCGGCACACTGTGCGCCAACCGCAACACAAAAGCTGCTCATGGCCCTTACAGCAAACGGCCATGCAAATCTCCATCGCTCGTCACGAGCATGTCGCTTGCAGGTCGTTTGCTCAGCCTGCGCATCGCTTGCGAGTCGCCTCGCCTCGCTCGTTTTGCTCCGTGTCGCTGGGGTGTCGCTTGTGTGCCGCCTGCGCGTGCCGCCTGCGCGTTTTCCCTTGTCGCTTGCGTGTCGCCCCGTGTCGCTTGCGTGTCGCCCCGCGTCGCTTGCGTGTCGCTTGCGTGTCGCTTGCGTGTCACTTGCATGTCGCTTACGTGTCACTTGCGTGTCGCTTGTGTGTCGCTTGCGTGTCGCCCTGTGTCACGCAGAGTGAAAGTGCTGCTTTGCGTCCCCAAGGCACGACTTTTCAGCCGAAAGCGTGTCGCTTGCGTGTCGCTTGCGTGTCGCTTGCGTGTCGCTTGCGTGTCGCTTGCGTGTCACGTGCGTCTCGACCAGTGTCGCTCGCGCGCGCTCGCTTTGCCTCTTGTCGCTTGCGTGTCGCCCTGCGTTGCCTGCGCGCGTTGTCCCAGGCTGCTTTGGTGCTAAGGGCTTTCAGATCCAAACTGGTGGGTTATAGACCTGAAGTGCTGCCGTTTGCATTTTTTCACAATTGCCTTCAAATTGACGGCACTTTCACCAAATTGAGAACAACGGTCGTTGGGTGATCCTGGTGGTTGTGTTGTTCTTTGCGGGTACTCAGCCTTCTTTCGGTTTGGTTTTCACATGAAACCAAAAGGAAAACCACCCATTTTTACAGGCTGTGCAATCATCACTCACCTCAAGAAAGGGCAACTTGAGATCGACCCTGGTGAGTTTTCAAGACCCTGGGCCAGTTGATTGAGAGATGGGACGCAGAAGGCCATAATTAAGAGTTTTGGATTCCTTTGTTTCAGCTTTATCCGGACTTGACTTCCGTTCCACTGAGAGCCCCACACCCGTCAGAGATCCTTAAGTTTGCCACGCTTGAAGGCTCCAAATTCAGGTTTTAATGGAAGACCTCCGTTCCCCACACCTGTGGCGTCCAGTGAAACCATCGCCACTTGCGGCCGGTCACTGGGGATTTGTCTTCGGCTGGAAGCGGCTGGCCACCAGAGGCCAAATCCCGGCCTTGGAGGTGCTGGAGGAGTTGTGCGGGCCTTACACGCCAATTCGCTGACTGAGGTCCGTTCTTTGGGTGTGGTTCCTTTTTGTTGGTACCGTGTTTTCTGTTAAGGAGTGCAAAACTTGAAAACAAAAAGTGGTTCCTTTTTGTTGAGGGTACTTTGTTTTTGCGGCTTTAAAGGGAAACCAACAGGAGAACTGGAAATCACCATGGTGGGGGTCTAAGAACAGATACACGGATGAACCCACCATGGCCACTTTGGACACGTTAGGCCGGTTTCTGGCGAATCAAAGCGGGTTGAAACAGTCCCGGTCCAGACGAAGGTTATACGTTCCCAGCATCCCACCCTAACCAGAAAGAAGGCAAGAGAAGACCACCCCCCCCCCCTCAAAAAAAAAAGAGATTTGTCTCCCGCTCTGTTCACCTGCAGCTCTTTCAAACACCCAAAATCTACAGTTTGGGCAGTCTGAACTGACGCTTTTTTGGGTTGCCGTCAGAATGGAGGCGCTTTGCTGGCCTTTGCGCCGTGGCTTTGGGCGGTCTTTTGAAGGGAAGGAACAAACCAAACCATTTGGGGCCCCAGTCACGGGTTGCCCATGAGATTTCTCGTGCGCATGCTACAATGTTTTTTCCCGGCGGGCCGGGATTTTAGCAGAGTTCCAATGGTAGATTGCCTCGCTTTCACAATTCGCTATGTGTTATTTTGACCCTCATGTGTTGTTTGGGGCTATTTTGACTGAGGGTGTTGTTCTCCTTTGGTTTCCTTTTCACCCCCTTCCTCCTACATCTTACCTTGAATTAAATGCACTCCAAGGTGTGAGGAGCCGAAAGCGATCGCGGAAAAGGCCGAACAACGTTCGTTGCAGCTGTGCGTTCTTTGTTTGCCTGCGAAGAAAGCAGGCTATGACGGTGACTTACCCTGTTTCCTGGAGGTTTTGGAAAGCCCTCTTCAAAAGGCCACTCTTATCCGCTTTCATGATTGGGATATGCAGGTTTGTGAAAGCCCTCTTGAAAAGGCAACTCTTATCCGCTTTCATGATTGGATATGAAGGTGTTTGAAATACCTCTTGAAAAGGCAACTCTTATCCGCTTTCATGATTGGGAAAGGAAGGTTTTTGAAATCCCTCTTGAAAAGGCAACTCTTATCCGCTTTCATGATCCAGGGATACACCCGGCTCCTGGAGAATGTTGCCCCCTGATTCGTAATGTGGTCGTAGTTTTGCCAAGGGCCGTGCCCGAAACAGAGCCTGGCTGAAGACCACAATCTGGGCTGAGTGATTCCTCGATGAAAGCCGCTGAATTATAGAAATTAGTGCAGATGGCAGTACCCCGTCTGCGACAAAGGAAATGGACAGAATACGTTTTCAGAAGGACTGGCAGTCTTCCAAAGCCTTCCATGGCGATTGCGTGCCCAATTGCTCCTGCCTGGCTTTTGAGCGCGCCTTTGCCCGCATCCCGTCTGTCCGATCCCTTCCCTCGCCATGGCCGAGCAGCCAAAGAAGCCAGCCGGCGGCGCCTTCGGACAGCTTCCTGCCGTAAATTAGCTCACGGAACTGAACCGGCCGTGACACCGCGACGTTGCCCCAGCTTGGCAATGTGAGACTTTGTCACTCTCGGTTTCGCAGAAGTCGTATTCTCAACTCGGGCAGCTTCCAAGCAGGTGCCTTTGTGTTTTGGATCCTTTGGGGTTGAGTGGTTGTGTGCTGGAGTAATGTGTTTCCCCTCTGATTTTGACTAGACAGCAGACTCGCGCTCAGGGAACTGTAGGCCATTACGTGACATTGCCCCAGCCTTGCGATGCCAGCAGTCACTCTTGGTCCAAGCTCGTGCCTTTGTGAATTGCATAGTGCAGGGGTTTCTGCTTGGAAGTATGCTCCATCCCTTTTGGCTGAATAGTTTGCTGGAGCAAGCTTTGCTTTTGTCGCATGTTGCCGCCCCGACTTAGACCAGCAGACTCATACAGAATGCTCCAAAGCTGAGGTTCTTGGCGGAGAAGCGCCCAGAGCTGATGAAGGAGACCCAGGGACAGCCCATCACTGCCGTCACCAAGCTGGCCAGCGAGCGCTTCAAGGCGCTCGGCGACGAGGAGCAGCGGGTCTCACTGGATTTGCTGGGCCTACCTTGAGACCCGATGCGTACGGCCGAGTGGGTGCATGCTAGGTTGTACGACTGGTTGGTTTTACCAGCGATGTGATCACGCGTTTAGCGATGCCGTATGTATGCGCAGGAGAGGGCGGCCTACCAGAAGAAGTATGAGGAGGCGAAGGCAAAGTTCGAGGAGGATATGAAGGCCTTCCTTGAAGCAGGCGTGTGCTGCATGCCACGCCCTGACCGTCCTTTCCATCATCCATTTGGGGTCAAGCTCGGGGGCCTCTTTTGGTATCCCCTTTGAGGGGTCCAAGGGCAACCATATGTTGGACAGCCCGCCTTTTAACAAGATCCACCATGGTTTGATGGCGGCGTTTTAATTCTGAGACTTCTGGTTGCTTCCGAAAATCCGGACTACGCCAGCTTGGCGGCCGACATGTTTCAAAGTTTCTGCTGGGAGGTGGCGAGAAGAAGGCGCGAAAGACGAAGGGCTCAAAGGGTGCAGAGAAGCTCAAGCGGAAGAAGGACTGCACTCGCCGCATAGAAGCTGGCTGTCCGGATTCGCATGAACTTTGGCAAGTGTTACAGTGCCCCAGATTTATCCACCAAACATACAATGGTGATGGGTAGAACTACCCTTTGTGGTAACATGGGGAACTGAACCCTACGTGGCACAAATTGATCCTTGAAAGATCACAGCCAAACAGTTGCCCGGACACGTCCTCATAGCGAGAGTCGCCGGGAGTTGTTTGCACGCATCCCATCTCTCGGAGTAGGATCCTGCGGCACCCAAGAAGCCTGCGGGTGGAGCGTACGGCTGCTTCCTGGCCAAGAGCCTTGGACTGAAAAGTCTCCACAGGGGGGGGAGCGGGGGGCATGTTCTGGGAGGTGGTCGGCTAGAGTCCCCGGCTCAACTACATGCCGGAAGACGGAGAGATGCGCGCAGCGCGCGATTGAGAGAGGAATCTTGCCGGTGGCAACAAAACGCCAAGTGATTGAAAGACTGCAGACAGCAAAGTGCGCGACTGCAAATGCTGTGTTGCCATGCTTCCAGTTTTGCTAGACATTCACTGTGATGGAGCTAAGGAACCGCTCGGCCTTCGCGGATCAGTGCAAGGGCCAGCCCGTGACAGCTGTCACGAAGCTGGCTTCGGAGAAGTGGAAGGCGCTGAGCGAGGAGGAGAAGAAGGTGTTTGAGGAGGAGTACCAGACCAAGAAGGCAGCCTACGAGGAGGCCATGAAGTCCTATGTTCCCCTGCCCAGCGCAGAAGCTGAGGAGCCGCCTGCGAAGAAGGCTAGGATGTCCAAGGAGCAGAAGGAGGCCGCAAAGGAGGCCGCCAAGGAAGCCAAAGAGAGTTCCAAGAAGGAGAAGCAGGAAGCAAAGGCCAAGCAGACAAAGGAAAAGGCGAAGGCAAAGGCAGTGAAGCCTAAGGCAAAGGGGAAGCCGGCAACCAGCACACCGGAAGTCGAACTTCAGGCCACCGTTGCTGCCAAGGCAGAGAAGGTCGGCCTTAAGGACCAGCTGATGAAATTGGTTGCACGCGATGACATCAAGGCCAGCGGCAAAAGCCAGACGGCGGCGCTGAAGGCTTTGGAGGAATCCAATGGCTTGATCCATCCGGCCAGGAGGGCGCTTTTGGGTGCCTGAAGCTGTTCCAGCCAGGGGGGATATCCTGGATTGGCTTCGGCAGACAATCCCTGCACTTGCACGGCAAGCCGCATGGGGAGGGGATTGCCGGGATGCGTCCAGGTTTCCTGGATCTGTGTGCCATATGTACAATTAGCAACTTTGCGCTGGGATGAACAAAGCTGTGCCTTGTGCATTGGTTCGAGGTCAACGGCGTAGCCAGGTGCTTGGATGGATTTGTTGCCAGAAGCTAGACATGCAAGCATGACAAGTGGAACGAGTGCAAGAGTGCAAAGATTTGGGATGCCAAGTTGAGCTGATCGACCATTCTCATTTTACCCTAGTTAGCACCCGCCCGATTGGCCTTTCTGGCTTTTGAGCGCTGCTAGCCTTTGCCCGCATCCCGTCTGTTCGATCCCTTCCCTCGCCATGGCCGAGCAGCCAAAGAAGCCAGCCGGCGGCGCCTTCGGACAGCTTCCCGCCGAAAAGTCATAGCTCAGGGAATTGTTTGCTCGAGCAAGCTTTGCCGTTGTCGCATGTTGCTGCCCCGTTGACTTAGTCCCGCAGACTCGTACAGAATGCTCCAAAGCTGAGGTTCTTGGCGGAGAAGCGCCCAGAGCTGATGAAGGAGACCCAGGGACAGCCCATCACTGCCGTCACCAAACTGGCCAGCGAGCGCTTCAAGGCACTCGGCGACGAGGAGCTGAGCCGCTTGCGCTGGATGGCTGTTGAGTGTCCGAGTGGGGCTGAGTGGCGTTGGTGCCGCGTGACTTTGACAGGCTTCGAACCGTACGTTATTCGTGATGTTTATGCACAGGAGAGGGCGGCCTACCAGAAGAAGTATGAGGAGGCGAAGGCCAAGTTCGAGGAGGATATGAAGGCCTTCCTTGAAGCAGGCGTGGTGGCCATGCACAGTTGGCACCTTTGCCTGCTGCATGCCTTTGCATAGTCCCAACACAGCGTATTCAGGAGAACTGCACTGCAGTTCGGCATGTCATTGTCGTAATATGCGGGGACATGTATGACAGTCCCACAGCAGTGAACTTGTTTCTGCTGGGAGGTGGCGAGAAGAAGGCGCGCAAGACAAAGGGCTCCAAGGCTGCAGAGAAGCTGAAGCGGAAGAAGGACTGCACTCGCCGGAAACCGCATGATCGCATGCTGGAAGCTGGCTGTCCGGATTCGGCTGGTCTTTGGCATGTTGACCCACCAAACACATAGCGGTGATGGGTAGAACCACCTTTGGCGGCAACATGGGGAACTGAACCCTTTGTTGGGGTGACAGTTGGGTTTTCCCTTTCAGCGTGGCACAAATTGATCCTTGAAAGATCACAGCCAAACAGTTGCCCGGACACGTCCTCATAGCGAGAGTCACTGGGAGTTGTTTGCACGCATCCTATCTCTCGGAGTAGGATCCTGCGGCACCCAAGAAGCCTGCGGGTGGAGCGTACGGCTGCTTCCTGGCCAAGAGCCTTGGACTGGAAAGTCTCCCAGGGGGGGGGGGGGTGAGCGGTGGGCATGTTCTGGGAGGTGGTCGGCTAGAGTCCCTGGCTTAGATCTTCTGCACGCCAAAAGACGGAGAGTCTCTCGCTGCGCACGACAGAGAGAGAGAGAGAGAGAGAGAGGGCGAGCGAGAGGGAGAGAGAGCAGAGTTGCCGGTGGCAAAAAATGCCAAGTGATTGAAAGACTGCAGCTGCGCGACTGCAAATGTTGTGTTAGATATTTACTGTGATGCAGCTAAGGAACCGCTCGGCCTTCGCGGATCAGTGCAAGGGCCAGCCCGTGACAGCTGTCACGAAGCTGGCTTCGGAGAAGTGGAAGGCGCTGAGCGAGGAAGAGAAGAAGGTGTTCGAGGAGGAGTACCAGACCAAGAAGGCAGCCTACGAGGAGGCCATGAAGTCCTATGTTCCCCTGCCCAGCGCAGAAGCTGAGGAGCCGCCTGCGAAGAAGGCTAGGATGTCCAAGGAGCAGAAGGAGGCCGCAAAGGAGGCCGCCAAGGAAGCCAAAGAGAGTTCCAAGAAGGAGAAGCAGGAAGCAAAGGCCAAGCAGACAAAGGAAAAGGCGAAGGCAAAGGCAGTGAAGCCTAAGGCAAAGGGGAAGCCGGCAACCACACCGGAAGTCGAACTTCAGGCCACCGTTGCTGCCAAGGCAGAGAAGGTCGGCCTTAAGGACCAGCTGATGAAATTGGTGGCACGCGATGACATCAAGGCCAGCGGCAAAAGCCAGACGGCGGCGCTGAAGGCTTTGGAGGAATCCAATGGCTTGATCCATCCAGCCAGGAGGGCGCTTTTGGGTGCCTGAAGCTGTTCCAGCCAGGGGGGATATCCTGGATTGGCTTCGGCAGACAATCCCTGCGCTTGCACGGCAAGCCGCATGGGGAGGGGATTGCCGGGATGCGTCCAGGTTTCCTGGATCTGTGTGCCATATGTACAATTAGCAACTTTGCGCTGGGATGAACAAAGCTGTGCCTTGTGCATTGGTTCGAGGTCAACGGCGTAGCCAGGTGCTTGGATGGATTTGTTGCCAGAAGCTAGACATGCAAGCATGACAAGTGGAACGAGTGCAAGAGTGCAAAGACTTGGGATGCCAAGTTGAGCTGATCGACCATTCTCATTTTACCCTAGTTAGCACCCGCCCGATTGGCCTTTCTGGCTTTTGAGCGCTGCTAGCCTTTGCCCGCATCCCGTCTGTTCGATCCCTTCCCTCGCCATGGCCGAGCAGCCAAAGAAGCCAGCCGGCGGCGCCTTCGGACAGCTTCCCGCCGAAAAGTCATAGCTCAGGGAATTGTTTGCTCGAGCAAGCTTTGCCGTTGTCGCATGTTGCTGCCCCGTTGACTTGGTCCCGCAGACTCGTACAGAATGCTCCAAAGCTGAGGTTCTTGGCGGAGAAGCGCCCAGAGCTGATGAAGGAGACCCAGGGACAGCCCATCACTGCCGTCACCAAACTGGCCAGCGAGCGCTTCAAGGCACTCGGCGACGAGGAGCAGAGCCGCTTGCGCTGGATGGCTGTTGAGTGTCCGAGTGGGGCTGAGTGGCTTTGGTGCCGTGTGACTTTGACAGGCTTCGAACCGTACGTTATTCGTGATGTTTACGCGCAGGAGAGGGCGGCCTACCAGAAGAAGTATGAGGAGGCGAAGGCCAAGTTCGAGGAGGATATGAAGGCCTTCCTTGAAGCAGGCGTGGTGGCCATGCACAGTTGGCACCTTTGCCTGCTGCATGCCTTTGCATAGTCCCAACACAGCGTATTCAGGAGAACTGCACTGCAGTTCGGCATGTCATTGTCGTAATATGCGGGGACATGTATGACAGTCCCACAGCAGTGAACTTGTTTCTGCTGGGAGGTGGCGAGAAGAAGGCGCGCAAGACAAAGGGCTCCAAGGCTGCAGAGAAGCTGAAGCGGAAGAAGGACTGCACTCGCCGGAAACCGCATGATCGCATGCTGGAAGCTGGCTGTCCGGATTCGGCTGGTCTTTGGCATGTTGACCCACCAAACACATAGCGGTGATGGGTAGAACCACCTTTTGCGGCAACATGGGGAACTGAACCCTATGCTGGGGTGACAGTCGGGTTTTCCCTTAGCGTGGCACAAATTGATCCTTGAAAGATCACAGCCAAACAGTTGCCCGGACACGTCCTCACAGCGAGAAGGATCCTGCGGCACCCAAGAAGCCTGCGGGTGGAGCGTACGGCTGCTTCCTGGCCAAGAGCCTTGGACTGAAAAGTCTCCACGGGGGGGGGGGAGCGGTGGGCATGTTCTGGGAGGTGGTCGGCTAGAGTCCCCGGCATAAATCTTCTGCACGCCAAAAGACGGAGAGTGGCTCGCTGCGCACGACAGAGAGAGAGAGAGAGAGAGAAAGAGAGAGAGAGAGAGAGAGAGAGAGAGAGAGCGAGAGCGAGAGGGAGAGAGAGCAGAGTTGCCGGTGGCACAAAAATGCCAAGTGATTGAAAGACTGCAGCTGCGCGACTGCAAATGTTGTGTTAGATATTCACTGTGATTCAGCTAAGGAACCGCTCGGCCTTCGCGGATCAGTGCAAGGGCCAGCCCGTGACAGCTGTCACGAAGCTGGCTTCGGAGAAGTGGAAGGCGCTGAGCGAGGAAGAGAAAAAGACATTCGAGGAGGAGTACCAGACCAAGAAGGCAGCCTACGAGGAGGCCATGAAGTCCTATGTTCCCCTGCCCAGCGCAGAAGCTGAGGAGCCGCCTGCGAAGAAGGCTAGGATGTCCAAGGAGCAGAAGGAGGCCGCAAAGGAGGCCGCCAAGGAAGCCAAAGAGAGTTCCAAGAAGGAGAAGCAGGAAGCAAAGGCCAAGCAGACAAAGGAAAAGGCGAAGGCAAAGGCAGTGAAGCCTAAGGCAAAGGGGAAGCCGGCAACCAGCACACCGGAAGTCGAACTTCAGGCCACCGTTGCTGCCAAGGCAGAGAAGGTCGGCCTTAAGGACCAGCTGATGAAATTGGTTGCACGCGATGACATCAAGGCCAGCGGCAAAAGCCAGACGGCGGCGCTGAAGGCTTTGGAGGAATCCAATGGCTTGATCCATCCGGCCAGGAGGGCGCTTTTGGGTGCCTGAAGCTGTTCCAGCCAGGGGGGATATCCTGGATTGGCTTCGGCAGACAATCCCTGCACTTGCACGGCAAGCCGCATGGGGAGGGGATTGCCGGGATGCGTCCAGGTTTCCTGGATCTGTGTGCCATATGTACAATTAGCAACTTTGCGCTGGGATGAACAAAGCTGTGCCTTGTGCATTGGTTCGAGGTCAACGGCGTAGCCAGGTGCTTGGATGGATTTGTTGCCAGAAGCTAGACATGCAAGCATGACAAGTGGAACGAGTGCAAGAGTGCAAAGATTTGGGATGCCAAGTTGAGCTGATCGACCATTCTCATTTTACCCTAGTTAGCACCCGCCCGATTGGCCTTTCTGGCTTTTGAGCGCTGCTAGCCTTTGCCCGCATCCCATCTGTTCGATCCCTTCCCTCGCCATGGCCGAGCAGCCAAAGAAGCCAGCCGGCGGCGCCTTCGGACAGCTTCCCGCCGAAAAGTCATAGCTCAGGGAATTGTTTGCTCGAGCAAGCTTTGCCGTTGTCGCATGTTGCTGCCCTGTTGACTTAGTCCCGCAGACTCGTACAGAATTCTCCAAAGCTGAGGTTCTTGGCGGAGAAGCGCCCAGAGCTGATGAAGGAGACCCAGGGACAGCCCATCACTGCCGTCACCAAGCTGGCCAGCGAGCGCTTCAAGGCACTCGGCGACGAGGAGCTGAACCGCTTGCGCTGGATGGCTGTTGAGTGTCCGAGTGGGGCTGAGTGGCTTTGGTGCCGTGTGACTTTGACAGGCTTCGAACCGTACGTTATTCGTGATGTTTATGCGCAGGAGAGGGCGGCCTACCAGAAGAAGTATGAGGAGGCGAAGGCCAAGTTCGAGGAGGATATGAAGGCCTTCCTTGAAGCAGGCATGGTGGCCACGCACAGTTGGCACCTTTGCCTGCATGCCTTTGCATATCCCACTCAGTCCCAACACAGCGTATCCAGGAGAACTGCACTGCAGTTCGGCATGTCATTGTCGTAATTACGGGGACATGTATGACAGTTCCACAGCGGTGAAGTTGTTTCTGCTTGGAGGTGGCGAGAAGAAGGCGCGCAAGACAAAGGGCTCCAAGGCTGCAGAGAAGCTGAAGCGGAAGAAGGACTGCGCTCGCCGGAAACCGCATGATCGCATGCTGGAAGCTGGCTGTCCGGATTCGGCTGGTCTTTGGCATGTTGGTGATGGGTAGAACCACCTTTGGCGGCAACATGGGGAACTGAACCCTTTGTTGGGGTGACAGTTGGGTTTTCCCTTTCAGCGTGGCACAAATTGATCCTTGAAAGATCACAGCCAAACAGTTGCCCGGACACGTCCTCATAGCGAGAGTCACCGGGAGTTGTTTGCACGCATCCTATCTCTCGGAGTAGGATCCTGCGGCACCCAAGAAGCCTGCGGGTGGAGCGTACGGCTGCTTCCTGGCCAAGAGCCTTGGACTGGAAAGTCTCCACGCGGGGGGGGGTGAGCAGTGGGCATGTTCTGGGAGGTGGTCGGCTAGAGTCCCCGGCTTAGATCTTCTGCACGCCAAAAGACGGAGAGTCTCTCGCTGCGCACGACAGAGAGAGAGAGAGAGAGCGAGCGAGAGGGAGAGAGAGCAGAGTTGCCGGTGGCACAAAAATGCCAAGTGATTGAAAGACTGCAGCTGCGCGACTGCAAATGTTGTGTTAGATATTCACTGTGATGCAGCTAAGGAACCGCTCGGCCTTCGCGGATCAGTGCAAGGGCCAGCCCGTGACAGCTGTCACGAAGCTGGCTTCGGAGAAGTGGAAGGCGCTGAGCGAGGAAGAGAAGAAGGTGTTCGAGGAGGAGTACCAGACCAAGAAGGCAGCCTACGAGGAGGCCATGAAGTCCTATGTTCCCCTGCCCAGCGCAGAAGCTGAGGAGCCGCCTGCGAAGAAGGCTAGGATGTCCAAGGAGCAGAAGGAGGCCGCAAAGGAGGCCGCCAAGGAAGCCAAAGAGAGTGCCAAGAAGGAGAAGGAGGAAGCAAAGGCCAAGCAGACAAAGGAAAAGGCGAAGGCAAAGGCAGTGAAGCCTAAGGCAAAGGGGAAGCCGGCAACCACACCGGAAGTCGAACTTCAGGCCACCGTTGCTGCCAAGGCAGAGAAGGTCGGCCTTAAGGACCAGCTGATGAAATTGGTGGCACGCGATGACATCAAGGCCAGCGGCAAAAGCCAGACGGCGGCGCTGAAGGCTTTGGAGGAATCCAATGGCTTGATCCATCCAGCCAGGAGGGCGCTTTTGGGTGCCTGAAGCTGTTCCAGCCAGGGGGGATATCCTGGATTGGCTTCGGCAGACAATCCCTGCGCTTGCACAGCAAGCTGCATGGGGAGGGGATTGTCGAGATGCATCCAGGTTTCCTGGATCTGTGTGCCATATGTACAATTAGCAACTTTGCGCTGGGATGAACAAAACTTTGCTGTGTGCCTGGACTTAGGTGCAAGGCTCGGGAAGCTGTTCTGTATGCGGAGGATACATGTTTGTGGTTTCAAGTCAATCCCCTTTAAAGTGATAAATCATTGGGATTGCCTACTTGAATATCACAGAGAGGTGGATTTTCCACAGCATAATTGGCACAGATGGCCCCTTGTGGTTGAATGAGTTCAGCTGAGAGAGTGCAATGGTTGCGAATGGAACAACTTGAGATCTCGAGGTGTCATTCGTGCTGACGTAGAGCCTGTCTCATTGGCTTGCTTCGGCGCCCGGTGGCTCTGACAGCATCTTTGCTTGCCTTAGCCCGTTCGCCCAGGTTTCGCGTTTCCGCGTTTCGCCTCACTCCATGGCCGAGCAGCCGAAGAAGCCTGCGGGCGGTGCCTACGGACAGCTTCTTGGCATCCATAGGCCATGACCCTCGCTACTCAAGCTTTTCCGGCCGAGACTCCAATGTCTGGAAAAGGGTGTGGAGCCTTAATCACAAGTTTTTTTTGCGCCTCCTTCTAGATTGCTGGTGAGGTGGACTCCTTGGTTTTGCTGTATGAGGTGTTTCTTCACCCTGGAAATTCAAGTTCAGTGCGATTAAGAGAGCTTGGCTACTGTTGTTTTTCTTGGGGCCATAAGGTTAACATGCTGAAAGGATCCTGAGGGCAAGCCTGAATTTCCAAGGAAGCACCATAGATGTGCCTGCTTTCTTTGACAGACCTAGAGCTGGGTCTTCTTTTGCCCTAAGATTGGGGTTCTTGGAGTCTCTGCCTCTCAGGAAATCCCCTTAGGAACTCCGATTTTCTCCATGCCAAGCTGAGGTTCTTGGCGGAGAAGCGCCCAGAGCTAATGAAGGAGACCCAGGGACAGCCCATCACTGCCGTCACCAAGCTGGCCGGTGAGCGCTTTAGGGCGCTCGGCGAGGAGGAGCAGAGGGTCGTTTCCGCGTTTCCGCGCGCGTGGGGAAAGGTCAGGTGGCTTTTACTCGGCCGTATGGCCGAGTGGCTTTAGCGTTGCGCAGCGTTGATAAAACTGATTGGTGGCAGAGCTGGGTTAGCATACTTCTTGAAAAATCCAAAGGGGCCTCGCAGTTCTTTTGTCAAGATTCCTCTCCCGGAGAGAGGGTGTCATCATCGCGACCACCATTTGGCAGTCCTGGCATTTTGCTCGCAGGAGAAGGCGGTCTACCAGAAGAAGTATGAGGAGGCGAAGGCTAAGTACGAGGAGGACATGAAGGGCTTCCTTGAAGCAGGCGCGGCGCGTACGCCACGTTTTTTGCCTGGGCACCACGCTTCTCGCAATGCGATCCTGTAAGACAACTGGATGGCCATTGGATTTCCGTTCGTCCCCGTAAGACAAGTGGAGGGCGGCACAGCTTTTGAGGGGGGAAAGTACTTCAGGCTCCCAGCCTTCAGGTTTTTCATCACAAGCAGGTGGCGAGAAGAAGGCGCGAAAGTCAAAGGAAGAGAAGGTCAAGCCAAAGAAGGAGAAGGACTCTACAGAGAGAAGCACGTCCTTGGTGGCTGCTTTTGGGGCCTTTTCACTCGAGTTTGTTTTTGACAGAGCTTGCATTCTTAGAGGAGGCTTGCCAGAGAGTTCCAGCAGTTCACTGGTCCATCGAGGGCATCTCCAAAGAATGTCTTTGCTCTCCTTCCCAGTGGATCCCGGTTATCCCTTAGTAGGAACCCTTCGCCATTGTCCTGATGATTGTAAAGGGTGGTTCCTTCGTGACATTCTATGGGTGTGTCTAGAATGGCTTCGGTCTTCCTCGTGGTTTTCCTCCAAAGCCAACCAACAAGGGTACCAACTCAAAAGAAGAACCACCCCCCATATGCGGACATGGAATCCCTTAGGGTTATCTGTTCTTTTGCCAGGATCCTGAGGCGCCCAAAAGGCCTGCTGGTGGAGCCTATGGCTGCTTCCTAGCCAAGAGCCTTGGACTGAGGGGTGTAAGTCATGCCGGGCTTAAAGCAATTCATGTCCGATTTGGAAGAACGTTACCGCGTGTTGCATTGAATTCATGTTTCGCGATGACTGGCGATGTTGTATTTGGATTGGCGTGCAAGGGGAGAGTGTTGCACCAAGCTTGTTGCAGGTTTTGGTTGTTAGGAGCAAGTTGATATTTACTTTGGTGCATTTTGCTTGGATGTTAGGACTTTAACTTTTTGCCAACTACTGGGTTTCCATTAAACCACTAAAAGTTAAACTTTCAGCAGGGGAGCAGAAAGCAACCGAGTTTAAGTACCTTGTAGCTGGCATGAAATCTCACGGCGCTGCTCGCCATGTGGCTGTGGTTGTCAAAGCCGTTTTGAGATCCCATTTTGGGGTAGGTGACTTCACCCATTTTAGAACCTATGCAAAATTGGGATGTTCACTGGGGGTACGATTTGGATTTTGACGCATGGCCATCTCTCAATTGCTTTTCGGGGTTCTTAGAGCAGCCGCCTCACCTCATACCTCATGCCGCATGCCTATAGTTTGTCTTGGGATGTCTGCTTGTTGCTGCTTGAGACATGTCTGAGATCGGGGTGAAGTGGCCGGGGGCAGTGGGGGGGGTGTGCGCCTGAGGCATCGCGCAGCCTTCGCCGAGCAGTGCAAGGGCAAGCCTGTGACAGCCGTCACAAAGCTGGCTTCTGAGAAGTGGAAGGCGCTCAGCGACGAAGAGAAAAAGGTCTTCGAAGCGGAATACAAAGCCAAGAAGTCCGCCTACGACGAGGCCATGAAGTCCTACGCGCCAAAGCCCACTGAGCTGATCGAGCCACCCGCCAAGAAGGCAAAGGCACTGTTGGGTGCCTGAGTTTTATGGCATTTGCCTTAATTAGTTGGTTCCTGAGGAACATCCTCATAAATTACCATTGCGCTTGCGCGGAAAGCGCATGAGGGGCGATGATTTGGATTGAGATGCATGAACCAACCTCATAATATTGGAAACAGAACAAAAACATCCATATGCATGACGAGAAATAATTGTAATATATTACTCATAAATATATACTGTATATATATATATATATATATTATATTTATACGTATATACATGTAAGTATTGATATTATTGATAATAATTAGATATGATATAGAAAGAAAATAAATTTGAAAGGATTTTGTGTGTTAATGAATATAATTAAATTTTATATTTATTGGTAAATGAATAGGATTAATAAAAAAAGTGAAATTAAACCATTTTTGGTTATTTGAAATAATAATTGATACATATATATATATATATATATAATTGATGAATATTATGATTTATATATATATAATATAACATAATATGATATATATATATATATAGAATGAAAATATAATAATGATAGGATAGACTAATAAATAAATTAAAATAAATAATTCAAAAAAAAATAATTAATGATTATTATATAATTGAATATATATTTATGGTTTGAGTTTGATGGCAGAGATTGGGATGAGGTTGAATTAATTTTGATTATATTGAATATTATGAAAATTAAAAAATATAATATAATTGGAAGGAATAATATTGAGTTTTGAATTTTAAATTAATTATATTTAAAATATGTAATTATTAATTGAGAATTTTGGATTAAGGAGGTATAAGAGGTTATGATAGATTTAAATTATTTTTTATTGTATTTAAGAGGTAAATTATTTTATATATTGAATTTATGTTTTGTAATAATTCATGATATTATATTTGGATTGATGTGTAAGGGCAGAGTGTTATATGTATTGTATTATAGATATTGAGTATTAGGAATATTTATGGTGTTGTGGATCGTTATAGGAATGTGAATGTGGTTGTGGATATTATTTATGGGATAGATAATTTTTTTGGGAATAAGGGATTTTGATAAATATTATTTAATTGTTTTCGGTTTTCTTAAAATAATTGTTTATTTTATGCCTTTTGCCACGAGTCTATATTTTATCTTGGGATATTTGTTTGTTATTGCTTGAGATATTGATTGAATATCTCATCGGAATAGCCCGGTAATGGATCCCGCTAAATATCCTATTGCATATCTCAGAATAATTCGCTAGAGGAATAGCCTAAACCTAAGGCAAAGGCGAAGGCAGAGCCCAAGGCTAAGATAGAGCCCAAGGCTAAGGCAGAGCTCAAGGCCAAGACTAAAGCCCTCGGAGGCCTAGTATGTCGTGTAGGCTGCGCTCAAAATTGAAGTCGAGAATCCTCTATAAGTCGGGCGAGAAATGTTTGTAGATGAACTGGGATCCGTTGAGGTTCGCATGTTTGGATGATTGTGTGCGTATTTGTTTTCTTGATTTCCGTGCAGATTTCAGTTTTCGTGTATTTGAGAAGGCGCATATGTCAATTGCGTGAAGACATCAATGCGGAGACAGCAAGCATGCGTGGAGACATCGTTGAGCTTGCGGACGAGAGTGGAATGCTAGTTGTGAGATTTATGGCAAATGACAGAAATTGGCTTACAGCCAACAACAGACTGGTTGCGATCGATGAGCACATTGATCGACTTGAGAGATATATCATCTCGGACTTCGATGAGCAGACTACGGTGAGAATCAACGCTGAAGTGCATTTTGCCGGAACAGCGAGAAGACTTTCTAAATAACATGAACATCTTCCCACGATCAAATTCCATTTATCCATAAATCAATTTCGAGAACTTAAATAAATAGCTACGTCCCTTCCAAAATAGAACCCGATAAGACATTAAACCAAATTATTTATTAATATCCAAAACAACAAAAAATATTACCTTTTCCGAACCTTAAGATATACTCAAAACACGAAAATATTAAAATGAAATTTAAACCCAATTATATACCGGATTATTAAATTTATGAAAGAATTATAAATCCCAAACCACTCGAAAATTGTGGTTGCATATACGCAATTAAATTCTCAATTATACATTTGTGAATGAGAAAGGAACAAATTAATCGAATCATTGTGATTTATTGTTTTAAGTTAATTTAATTATATTAATAATTAATTATATTATATTTACTATATATTTAATTTATATTATATATTTTAAACAGAATTTCAATTTCAAATATATAATTATATATATTTCAAATTTAGTATTATTATAATTTCAAAATATAAATTTCCATCCCCAAAAATATGTTTAATTCATCTTTATATATTTCGTCTCAAAAACCCCAAAATTCCTCCTACCCATTCTAAATCCCTCTAATCCCATTCATATGTTTAAAAATTGGTATCTTATTTTGAATTAAAATTATATTCTTAATATATATTCTAAAAATCATTAATAATTCATAAATTAAAAATATAGAGTATTTCATATATATATATATATATATTAGTAATGGGGGCCCACTACTTTCCAGCAGCGTGCGAAATGAAGCCCGTAATAAAAGAGTAGCAGAAATCAGAGTATAAAATAGAAATATATTCGGATTAACAATCATAGACAGATATATATGATCATATTCACAAAGGCCGACGTCGTTAAGGGCGGCCCAATAAGGTCATGGCAAAAACCAGCCATAACACATACATACTTATCGGCAAGTGCGTAACACGATCCCCCAATTGTTAGTTTAGATTAGTGTTTTAGAATTTCCAATTTAACATAATCTAGGGATTCAATTCCCAAACCCCCGATCCAAATCAGCAATTAAGAATGAATTGAGGCGGGTATCAAAAAAATGAAAATAATCATAAAAAAGAATCCCAGTATATTCCAACCATTAAGAACAATCCACAAATCGAGACCAGAGCGTCCGCAAAAACACGATATCACGAAATTTTATGTACTCTTCCCAAAATATCGTATAACCCGAGCTCTTAGGGGCCAAGGTCTAGGGCCAAAAACAGAGCAAATCTTGTAGAGCCCGCGCCGGCGAGACATTTTTTACAATTCAAACACCATAATATTTTATTTTAAAAATATCATCAAATATACATTCTTTGTATGCGAAATACATATCGTTCTCCAAACACAGGTCGTGAGATGCACTAAGGGCCGGGCTAGTCGCTCTCAGATATGCCTGGAAAAAATGGCCTATGTCGCTGAGGACGCATTAATATAGGGCAAGATCGCAATACAAATAACCATAAAACATATATAAATTATTATAGCTGAGACCCAAAAATGCAAAGCATTGGACCATTAAAAATCACGTAAGGCCCGACATCCCTGGCCTATCCTATTTTAGGGAATATATCTTTAATTGCCCGTTATCATTCCTAAGGGTGTATAACTCCGCCATAATACCGTCATAAGCCTCGCAACTTCGAGCGGCAACCAAAATGAGCCTTAAGCCTTTGCCTTAGATCTTACCCAAACAAAACACTTCGAAAGACTATATACACAAAGCTAGAGACCCAAATGTCTAAAAACGAGTTATAGATGGAATTTCTCAGCAGCACCTCAACATATTTCCTAAATATGCCTTAACAGCCCGATACCAACGTGTAAACACATAAATAGTAAAAGGCAATCCCCTGAGCAAAGTGAGAATGGACCCGCGGGCTATTAGCCTTAAAAAATCCATCCATATATATAATTGTTGTAAGCGCTCACAAAAACATGATCGACTAGAAAACATCCTAGGTGCAAGCAAAGCCGAACTATTTTCGCTTAAAATGTTAGGAAAAGCGCCGCCGATCGCAACAATTGGCCGCGGCTCAGAGCTTCTCACATCGCCAATAATATTTCCCGAAAAATAAAATATATTTCGGGAAAATTATCCCCGAAATATTCGGAATATTTCGAAAAAATGGTGGGTGGTTATGATTTTCCCGAAATATCTAGAATATTTCGGGAAATTGGTCCCTACAAAAAATGAAGCCATGATATCTTCCGGATTATGGCCGGGGTAATCCGGACAGATTTGGGTAAGCACTCCGTAGGAAATACCTAGAGATTCGTTACGGCGGAAATTTTTATCGCAAATCAAAAAAGGCGTTTTTTTGGATTTGCGGCATTTCTTCCTAATTTGCGGTGTTTTGTTTTAATTGCGGCAGAGCTTGTTTTTAGTTTTTTTCCACCCCCCCATTTGTGGCGGAAATCGGCGGGAGTGCGGCGGAAATTCCCGGAAACAAACGTGTTGCGGCGTTTTTGTTTTTGTTGCGGCGTGTTTTTTGGGCCAATTTTCTGGAATGCGGCAGGAATTTCCGTCGCAATATGTTACGGCAACAATTTCCGCCGCAGGAAAATTTAGGTATGAAGCGGTTACATCTTCTAAGAGCAGCCCGGACCAATTTTCTGAAAAATCCGGGATTGTTCGGAAAAGCGGTCCGGGAAAACGCGCGTAAGAGCGACGAGCAAGTTTCAAGGTTTCGAAAAGATCCATTTAAATATATAATTGTTGCAAACATAAACGAAATACACAATCGTCCAGAAAATATTCTAGGTGTAAACAAAGCCGAACCTAGTTCGTCCAAGGCATTAGGCAAAACACTACTGGTCGCAGCAATCGATCGCGGCTCAGAGCTTCTCGTATCGCCAAATTCTCGGAAAATGAGCGCAAGACTTCAGCCAAAAATGGCTATGGGCAGCCAAATATATATCTCGAGTCTTTATCTAAAAGACACAATGGTTTTATTTAAAGTCCGAACCATTTTTCCGAAATACCCTGGATATTTCGAGAATTGCACTCCAAACCATTTTTCCGAATTATTCCGGATATTTTGACGATAGCATTTCCCGAAATACCTAGAAATTCGGTGTGGCAGAAATTTCTGCCGCAAATCAAAAAATATGCCTTTTTGGATTTTCGGTATTTCTTCCTAAGTTGCGGCGCTTTGTTTTCATTGCGGCAGAATTCTCTTTTGCTTTTTTTTTCCACATCCCGATTTGCGGCGGAAATCGGCGAGAATGCGGCGGAAATCGGCGGGAATGCGGCGGACATTCCCGGAAAACAAGCATGGCGTTTTTGTGTTGGTCGCAGCGCGTTTTTTAGTTTATGGCTGATTTTCTGGAATGCCGCAATAAATTCTAGATATTTAAAATATTTAGTAAAATAATCCCGAAATATTCGGAATATTTCGAAAAAATAATGGGTGATTATAATTTGGCCGAAATATCTAGAATATTCGGGAAATTATTTCCTTTAAATAATGAAGCCATTATATCTTCCGGATTATGACCGGGGTAATCCGGATAAATTTGGGTAAACGTTCCGTAAGTAATATGGACCGAATATATCCAATTTTCCGAAAAATAATTCGAGAAAATGCGCGCAAATGCGACGAACAAATTTCATGATTTTATTTATAGAATAAATATAGTTTTCTATTTTTTTCCAAATAATCATTCAATATATTTGTAATATTTAATATATATATATATATAAATATAAATCAAAAAAATCCATCAATTCCATCAATAACCATATCAAATAAATCAAAAAAAAAGAGAAAAAGATAAATATCAAACAACAAACATTATTGTTTTTTTTCTCTTTTTTTTGTTAAAAAAAAAAAACAACAAAAACAAAGACAAACCAAAATAGCAAAACATTTTTTTTTTTTAAAAAAAAAAAAAGAATAACAGAGAAACATACATAAAGAGAGAGAGAAGAAAAAAAAAAGAGAGAGAGAAGGAGAGAGAGAGAAAGAGAAAGAAAGAGAAAGAGAAAAATAGAGAAAGGAAAGAAATAATATATAAAAGAAAGAGAAAGAAAGAGAGAGAGAAAGACCCATAACAAGAGGAATTGTTGCTAACGGAAATGCCCAAAGTGGAAGCAATGATTCCCCAAGATTATCTCCGGCCCCGGGAAAGACCAATCGATGCTCCAACAAGACCTAAGCAAATTATTCCTCATCCTATGGACGATAAAATGGCTTCAAGAAAAGAGAGAAAGAAACACCAAAAAAGAGATATTTTTCTTTCTCGCTCTCTCTCAAAGAAAAAAAGAGAGAAAGGGAGAGAAAAAGAGAGAAAGAAAAGAAAGAGAGAATAAAAGAAACAGAAAGAGAATAACAAAGAGAAAGAAGCAAAAAGACGAGAAGAGAAAATATAAAAAAGAGAAAAACAAAAAGAAATAAAGAGGGAGAAAAAAAAAAAGAAAAAAAAAAAAAAAGAAAAAACAGAAAAAGAAAAAAAGAAACAAAAAGAAGAATTGTGTCTCTCTATCTATTTCCGTGTATCCGTGTCTAGCTCTATCTTTATCTTTTTGTCTATCTGCGATTGTTTTTGTGGGTCAATTCATAAAAATAATACACTTCCATATTGCTACATGCCGTATCTCCCCCTTTCAAGTTCCGTTATCGTCCTGTCGTTCTATCTTTCTGTCGTTTCTAATTGTTATTATTATTGTGCTTGCTTAATTGCTTATCTCCTTCTTTCTTCTAAGAGAAAAATCGTAGCAACAATCAATAAACGCAAAAAAGACAAAATGAAAAGAAGACAATGCAGCTTAAAAGGGCGAGACACTTAAAAAGGCGAAATACACGGCATGCAACAAAACGGAAGTATGCTATTTTTGTGCACTGCCCCGCAAAAACAAGCGTAGACAGACAAAAAGATAAAGACAAAGCCGGACGCAGACACGCGGAAATAGACAAAGAGACATAAAAAGACGCAAAACAAATAAAAAAATAAAGACGAACAACAAACACAAACACATAGAGACAAACAGAGACAAACAAAGACAAACCGAGACAACCCGAGAGACAGAGAGACACTAACAGACAAATAGAGACAGAGAGGCACAAACACCAAAAAGAAACAGATTGGGATACACAGAGATACACAAAGATAGACAAAGAAAGACAGAGATAGATAAAGAAAGACAAAAATAGAGGCAAAGATGCGGAGACACCCGGCACGAAATTTTCGAGATATTTCGACTCGCACAAATCCCCAAATTTCCTCGAAATTTAGCCCGGTAATTAGCCATCAAATTCTGCAGAAATTTGCGGGGCTAACCTCCGGAAACCTTTGAGTCGCGTCGCCAGAAACGACCCAAAACTCGGGAAATTTTAGCCTCGTTACGCCACGAGAAATCTAAGCAAAATTATCAAGAACCTCCCCGATATTTCGGCAAAAATTCGGAGCCTTCCAAACCGCACGAAGAGGCGAGAGCTTTTTATGCCACGGAGAAAAGATCCTCACAAGCATAACCGCTCGCCACAAGCACTACGATTCGGCCGGAGTACCGCTATAACGGCTTTCCAATGCACACGAAATACGACCTCGAGGCCGTACCAATTTATAGGAGAATGTACAATATATTAAAATATATAATAAAATTCAATATTAATAATTATTTTAACATATATTAATTATATTAAAATTATCAAATAATTAATAAAACCAATACATAATTCAAAAATAATAATACAACAAAAATCCTATAATCAATTATTATAACTAACACTAATAGAAACCTAAAAAAATAATAATAATATATTTAACATATGTTTATATAACAATTCTATATTATTTATATTTATTCTGAATATATATATATATATATCTCAATACTCTATATAAATTAATAATATATAATATATGTAAAACAAATATAATATTCTAAATTGCCAATATAAATTTTAAAGTCAATCTTCCCAAAACCCCGATCGGAACCGTCATGTACGTTTCATAAAACCGACGCCCTTGCAAAGCGCACCCAACAACATGCCCGTAAATGATCTTCTGGTTTTCCAGTATTTTTCTGTTTGGCGAGGCTTCCAAATGGACGACCTTCACTTTCCAGTTCATGAAAAGGACCTTGGTTGTAGAATCTGAAGATAGATTCATTCAGATTGTTAAACTGGCGGACGTGGCAATTGCAGTCCGGTATAGTCCGGTACTGTATGGACGATACCGCGAAGGCGGAGGAATCAAGGGGTCCATACTGTACAGGCATTCTTCAGGCACCATGCGCTTCCGAGCGAATGAAGCCGCGAATTGGAAAGCGTCATGAAGCCGCGAACTAAGTCAGTGCGAGATTTGACTCACTCACTTCCTGAATGGTCTTACGGCTCTCCAACTTTTCTTCCCCTTTGAACATCACCCCAAAAGAAAACTCACTTTACGTTGGCCCAAAAACTCCGTACTTTTCCAAGGCCGAAGGGGACTTTCCGGGAATCCGGGAATCCATTTGAGCCTTGTGAAAGGTCGCCACTCAGGGAGCAAGTCAGTTTGCAGGTCTGCTGCATGGCTTCTGCACACCCATGCGCACAGACGAGGACAAGGTGGACTCCTGCATCACATGGCAACTTGGAGGCATGTCCACCAGAAACTGATACCTCCTTTTGCTTAAGTCCCCTGGTGCTTAAGTCCCCTGGAAAAAACACAAAATCATATTTCCAGTAGTGATAGATTCCCTTTAAAACCAACAGGGGACACATAATAAGAATAATAAGAATAATAATAATAGTAATAATAATTATAATAATAATAACAATCATAATAATAACACTAGCCAAGCGAAAGGATAGGGGCCTGCCCCGAATCCATACCCGTCAACTGCACACCAGCGGCCCTCCCAAACCCGATGCCCTTGATACATGTCACGTCTGCCTTTTGTGAGGCTACCCTTTTTTGGCTTGCCCAAAATCAAAATGGAAACCAAAAGGAACCCGGCCTTGGTCTGCAAGGTCTTAAACATTTCCCACGACGTGTTCCCGCCAGTAAAACTGGAACTTGTTGTCCCACAGCTTTGTGAAATACAGTCGGGGCAGTGCACCCACCCACAAAGCAGCCCTGGGGGTAGTCGCTCACGTGGGAGTGTGGCAGCCAAGCCGCTTGGAGAGGTGCGAACAAAGTGCCTGAAAGGATACATTTGGGCCAGTTAAACCTTTCCTTTGCTGTCTGGTCAAGCAGATAGCTTTCGATGCATGCTTTTGGGAACCCTGTCAAGGGAAACCAAAAGGGAAGCCCACCGTTTGGCCACCCTTCTGGTCGTAGGCCCTCATTCTGGCTCAAGGTAATTAGCTTCCAGCTGTGGCAACTCGATCATGCTAGTCTTAAAGCAAAGACATGTCCATCATGTACAAATCAAAGGCTTCGGTTACAGGAAGATTCTGCAGGAAAGCGCCAAATTTCCTGTAGTTACCCTCTCTCGCACTAACATGGCACCTGACAGAGAATTGGTCCCTCCAAGAGGAAAATGATCTTCCACCCTCCCACAGGTGCCATGTCAGTTGGAGGGAGGGTATACCTTTTAACCCAATCCAAAGCAGTTGGTGACCAGCGGGGAAACCGCTGTGTTCATGATCTGCAAGGCCCCGGCGCCCCACACGATGCTTTCTGCGTCCTGAAAAGTACCCATGCCTGCGCTAAGTCCAGTGTACAACTAAGAAGCTGAAAAAAAAAAGACAACACAAACAACATGTTTTTTGTAGGTTCAATCCATTTTCAGGTTCCATTCCATGTTGTGGATCCTAGGTTCCATGTCTTCTAGGTTCCATCATTGGTCCATCACTTGCATGGCGCCTGCGGGCCCCTGGCGCCCCTGGGCCCCTGGGGCCTGGCAGGTGACGTCCGCCCGGCGCGCAGGCCTCTCATCATGTTTGGCGTCAAAATCACAACCGAGAAGATGAATCAAGGGGTGCCCCCCAAAATGATGGGTTCGAAGCCCAACCCAAAGGGGGCGCCCTTCAAAAACGCGCGTGAGGGGAGTTTGAGGGAAGACAAATTTCGCCAACCTAATGTTTCTTTCGTGGATTGGCCAGCAAAAAGTCCAAACAAACTGTTTGCGTACCACTAAATATGCATTCTCAAAAAATATGACGTCCAGAAACTCAAAGACCGAGACGCGCGTTGTGAAGTTTCATGTTGGACCATTAAAGAGCTTCCCCCCCCTTAACAATGGAACCAGTCAGCTGGACCCTCTTTAGGGAAATCCTGGGGGTCTGGGTGGGACTTGGATGAGTTTCAATTTGATTTAGTATTGGTAGACTTGAGTTTCCATTTCATTTAGTATTGCTGGAGCTTCCTTTTGAGATTTGGAACTGAGTTTCAAATTGAGTTCGTATTGGTAGACTTGAGTTTCCATTTGATTTAGTATTGCTGGAGCTTCCTTTCGAGATTTGGAACTGAGTTTCCATTTCATTTAGTATTGCTGGAGCTTCCTTTTAGATTTGGAACTGAGTTTCCATTTAATTTAGCTAGGACTCACCCTCAGATTCCCTGTTTTGCAAGTGGTTGAGCTGAGTTTGTGTGCTGTGCTGTCCCTTAGCCATTTCTCTGGTTTTGGAATTTCAGGAATTTGGGAATTTCAGGAAATAACAGGCTTTGGTTTTGGAATTTCAGGAACCACCCAAAACCAGTTGGACACTAAAGAGGACCCCTAAACAGTCACACTAAAGAGGCAACTTTGTGTAAAGAAGTTATCATAAATTTGATGGCTTGGGCACAGCTTTCAAAATGGATTTCCTAGACCTCAGGCCTTTAACCTTTGAGCTGGGGAGAGCTTAGGATGAGCCACCTTTAAAAGTAAAAGGCTGAGGCTTTGGTTTGGGAATTTCAGGAACCAACCAAAACCAGTTGGACACTAAAGAGGACCCCTAAGCAGTCACACTAAAGAGGATCAGGGTTGGTTGTGGGCAACCCCCTTTGTGTGATTGATTGACCTTACTTTTTTTGTAAAGAAATTATCATAAATTTGATGGTTTGGGCACAACTTGCAAAATGGATTCCCTAGACCTCAGGCCTTTAACCTTTGAGCTGTGGAGAGCTTAGGATGAGCCTCCAGCTCAACAGCAGCTAAGGCTTCTAGCCTGAGCCCGACCTGAGCCTGCCCAGACCAGAGAGTTTAAAGCAAACAAGCCTGTACTTGTTTGTTTTTTTTGGGGGAGGGGAAAAACTTTCTACAATAGAGGACCCCTAAACAGTCACAGGATCCTGAATTACGAAAACAACTTTACACAATAGAGGACCCTATCATTAAAGGAGGTGTAACATTACAACTATACAGGTCTTCCCTGAGGGTCTACTCGTTGAGGTTTTACACGGTCACTAGCTCAAAGTGTAAGGGGTAAGTCACAAACTCCATCCAAATCCGAAGGAACACTTCCTCTGCGAGGTCGCAAACCCCAGCAAGCGCTGCCGCTGTTACTTGCCCAAACAAAAAGGGGGGTCCTCCCCTTCTTCGCCGGATTTGTGTGCGGCCCTTTGAGCGGTTGGATTAGGAGCCCTTGGTGATGCCAAGAGAAACTTGTCAGAAGCCCCACTGGCATCTTGCTTTCAGGAACGCTGCAATCTGTGAAAGCCCCTCACCTGCACACGCAGGTAAACCCCTCACTTGTACCTCAGATGCCCAGTGGCCATGGGAAAAAAGGGCACCTTTTTTTGGTTGGTTGTTTTAAAGGGGAACTTCCACCCCAAAAAAGGAAAACAGGGCACCACTGGGCAACTGAGGTACACTGCTGCTAACCGTCTTTCGCAGATTCGACTGCAAACTTCAATGCCTCGCAGCTTTCCATTGTGTTTTCCGATGGCAACTGATTGGGCGTCCCTTGTGTCTGCAGTATATAATGGAATATATGTGGAAAAACAATAATCATATATATATAGCTGCAAAAATGAGGCAATGATGGCGTACTAACAATACTAGGAATGGCAATAGTAACCATCGTAGCTTCAATAATTTCCATAAAACAACACATGAAATCGACAAACAAACAAATTGATGCAATATAAACACAAGTAAATAAATTAAGTAGAGTGCAACTTGTTCCAAGCCCTCAACAAAACCTCAATTTCCAAGCAGCTCGCCAGAACAGGTCTGCGTCTGATTTTTCTGCGTCTTATCTTTTCCAAGGTTCTTTGACGGGGAAAACACACGTTGACTCTTTCTTGAGCGCGGCCTTTTTAGACTACCCAAATGGGCACCGCCCTATTCCGCGACAAAAACTGGTCCAAAAAAGTTCACGGACCCATAACAAGTCGTCAATCCCATGCAGCAAGCCCACATGGCTGAATTTGTATATGTTTTTTAGGGACCCTTTGTTTGGTTTCAAAGGGGAAACCATCAGGAACAAGAACCGCATCCACACTTGGCCTTGCTATTGTGGTTGCAAGGAACCCCTTTTGTCGAAATTCCCCGCCTTCCAGTCTCAGTAGCCCTGTGCCTCAGCAGGCGTGTGGGTCATCTTGGAAGAGTGCCGTCCTTGAAGTCTCATGTCCACTTCCATGATTGTTCCTTCCATTTGCTTAAGCGCCCTGGACAACTTTTTAGCTCCAGTAGTGATCGACTCCTTTAAAAACTAACAGGGGAAAATAACAAATATTCTTAAACACATGGAAGGTTTTACAGAGGGTACACTCCCACGTTCACATGGCACCTAACAGGGAATTGGTCCCTTCAAGAGGGAATTCATCTTCCAGGCAGTTAGTGGGAGGAAGGTACCATGTGTTGGAGTGGTTGTTTGCTTCAAAAAGGGGTTGTAACCCCAATCCAAAGCCACCAAACAACTTTTGGGCTCCTTTTGGGTGTCATTCTTTGACGGACCCCTTTTGCACACACACACACACAAAAACAAACATGGCGCCCTTGAAAAAAGACGTACATCCGCTTCAAGTGCCCTGATGGATTCTATGACACGGCCTGTGATTCAACAAGTCCACCTGGACATTTTGTGGTTCGGTCCGGGCGCCCAATAGCCCCGCCAAAACATCCTCAACGAGAGGGCAGGGGCAAATTCCCGATTCCCAATCTTGCCCAGAAACGGGACAATGAACCCATAGCTTGTCGGGCTACCCTGTTCTGTGGAAAGTCTATGGTTTCATTTACCCTCTCAATGGAATGCTTCATTTACCCTCTCAAAAATTACACCAGCATAGACCCCAGATAGCACACCCGGCTACGAACCATGACGCAGCATCATAATGGTTCCCGCGACTGATGATGTTGACAGCATCTTGGTGATGTTGACAGCATCATGAGGATACCACAGCTACTCAGCATAGTGCGCAAAATAGACGCGCAGACAACGTCCTAGTGAGTTCATCAACAAAACGATGATGTTGACAGGATGATGCTGATGCACCAGCCGCGAACGATTCCGCGCTACATATTTAACAGAAAAAAGGCAGTGATGAGTTCGACAGCATCATGATGATGCGGACAGCATCATGATGATGCTCACAGCATCATGGTGATGGCAAAGACGATCCTGATCATATCGCAGCCACGAATCATCTCGCGACAGTGTAATGAACTTCAGCATCATCCTGATGTTGACAGCATCACGCCCGCCACCACACCCACAAAGCATATCGCGGCATCGCAGCGATTGTAGCAGCATCATGACGTGGTTGACAACATCATGATGATACACCAGCCACGAACCATTACGCGGGACAGTTAGAGCAGCATTTTTTCTGCGCACTTTTTTGGCGTCTGCCCATGCGTTGAAACAAGGCTGCCTACGGATGCTTAAGGGAAGTCCCGGGCACTAGGACTTTGCAAGCTGTTTTTTGCGGAGGCCAGTTCCTCACACGCACGCGGTTTTTTCTGAGGGCAGCGTCCTCACAGCTGCTACGGGGCCAGCAGCCTTGAAGCTTCAGGGGAAGCGGGGCAGCGAGAAGGTTGCTCAAGTCCGGGCAAGGCCCATCAAGGTTGCTCAAGCCGGGGGAAGGCAAGGAAGTGAGGCTGTCAGCAAAGGCCAGGGAAGCTGCAGCGCAAGACAAGCCGGCCCACGGTGGACATAAGCACTTCGAAGGGCAGGGCGAAGAGCCTCAGGCGCAGCTTGGGCTCGGGCACACGCAAGGAGACGGAGAAAACAGGCAGCATCTGACCCCCAACGGCCCCCGACCTCGACACCAAGCACAACAAGGCGGCAGCGCCCGCGCGGGCGCTGGCCAGCAGCAACAACGTCCGAATCGGTTCAACAGCATCATGATGCTGCGGCCAGCATCACGATGATGCGACAACCACGATACCCCAAACAGCGCCTGCCCTAGCACCCTGCCATCCACATGCGCCCGGCAGCCCAAACGGCACATCAAGCCTCGCGCCAGCTCCACCCCAAAGCGCACGGTCACAGCACCTCCAACAGCAACTCAAAACAGCACCTGCGCCACCACCCCAAACTGCATGCCCACTAGCGCCCGCCGGCAATCTCCGAAAATTGCGCCGACAACGTCAGCAGCACCTCAAGCAGCACCCCAAACAGTACCCCAAACAGCTGCATCGCCATCAATCTTGCAAGAATGCGCCTGCACCATCACCAGCACCTCAAACAGCACCCCAAACTGAATGCTGTCCATCAGCACCTTAAGCAGCACAGGCACCTTAATCAGCACCGCGAACTGCATGCCCCCTAGCACCCGGCCGTCAGTTTCGCAAAGCGGCACCTCCACCAGCACCCGAAACTGCATGCCCCCTCGCACTTGGCCGTCAATCTCGTGAAACAGCACCTCCACCAACACCCCAAAATTGCATGCCCCCTAGCACCCGGCCGTCAATCTCGCAAAGCGGCACCTCCACCAGCACCCCAAACTGCATGCCCCGTAGCACCCAGCCGTCAATCTCGCAAAACAGCACCTCCACCAATGCCCCAAACTGCATGCCCCCTAGCACCCGGCCGTCAATCTCGCAAAGCGGCACCTCCACCAGCAACCCTTATAGCTTTCGGCTATCTGGGGGAAAAACAAAAGCTCCCGCACATCCAAGCAAACACCGGGACGCCGCCAAACTGCTTGAGGCCCCGGCTGGTAGCCTGCATTCTCGGACGAGGTCGGAAAGCGCTGCATCTCTGCCTCAGTCCGCTTGCGGGCTCAACTTGCCCAGAGTGGAAATAGCCATGGATCAAAATCCCGTACCAGTGAACATCCCGATCCCCACTAAAATAGATTAAAATGGGTGGTGCACCTACACCATTGGTTTTGACCCACACCCAAATCAGCTGGTGCCCAAGGGCCTCGAAAAATGGACACCCGAAAAGGGGGGGGAGTAGACATTGTCAAAAGGTCGATTTACTTGGGGCAGGTGAGTTGGGGAGACCACAAGCATTGGCAGTAGGAAACTAGGGAACCATATTCCAGTTGCCGTTTACCGTTGAAACCTTGTCCCGGTGCTTCCAGTTCTTTGAGTGGGAGTTGCAAAAGCGACAATTCTCTATTTTTGGAGGAGACCCCAGTGAATATGCGGGGGACATTTGAGGTCTAAGCAAGAACCGCCCAGTCATGGAATCTGCCACCATCCAGAAGGGGATCCGGAATTTTGGGAACACCCATGCAAGCCGCAATCATTTTTGTCGTGTCCCAAGAGAACATGGGACTTGCGCGGGTGCTTCCCATGTCCTGCAGCTCATGTCAGCACCGGGCAACTTACCAATTTAGGAGCTCTAGAGTCGCACGCGAAAAAAATAAAAAAACACCAGCATAGACCCCAGATAGCAAAAAAAACAGGCCAACAATTGCACACCAGCACCTCTGACAGCACCCGAGGAAGAGCAAACAACACCCCCAACAGCACCCCAAAGCACCTGGACCAGCACCCAAACTGCACGCGCCCTAGCACCCAGCCGTCAATCTCGCAAATCACTTTCCCCTCTTTATTGGAAGTTAGAACCCCTATAGCTTGCAGCTATCTGGGGAATAAAACACGTTGTTCCTGGAAGCATCTTCCTCCTCCTCCTCCTCCTCCTCCTCCTCCTCCTCCTCCTCCTCCTCCACCGCAACTGTGCAAATCCCAAACCAGGCGGCTTTGCCACTCAGTGAATATATGTTCATGCATAAGAGAAGAAATCTGTTGAATCGCTCGGAGTATGGCAATGGATGGCTCAACCATCCTCAATGCATAGGCCCCCTCCTTTCTGCAAACGTTGACCCAGACATGGAGAAGGGAGTGGTACCTGCAAACCCATCTCGGAACTGAAAACTGTGGTTACTAGCCTATCATTGACCCAGGTTTGAGAAAAAAGTCTGTGTTTGTTTTAACCGCCAAAACGGCTTTGCCAAAAGGCGACTAAAGTCCAGCACCTCTTGTGATTACGCTGGGCCGGGGGTTCCAGACAACCACAAAGGACCCAAACCACAAGACTGCCAAGGAAAGTAGTCCAGGACCTCAGGGAGTGGGGCAAAGGCTCGGGGTTCCCTTTGCAACCCAAACTGTATGGATGAAGCAAACAACTCTGTGTTCTTTGCAGGCCCTGCTAAAAATGAACAGAATCAAAAACCAGCTAAAAGAAGCCAAAAACCAGCTAAAAACCGGGGCTGCCCTCAGATCCCCCGCTAAAAGTGACCAACTTTTAGTGGTTTAAATGGAAACTACCACTAAACACTAAAAGTCTAAAAACTAGGTTCTCCAGTAGAGAGGTTACAATAAGAGTACCCTTTTTTCTGTAGTCTATTTTAGTAGGGGAACCCTCCCCCCAAAAAGAAACGGAAAAAGGGCACTACTGGGGGACCTAGAATACATAAAACAAAAGGACACATGAAGGTCTAAAAACGGGCTTGGGGCTGGGACAAACAGCCCGCCCCTTCCCCACCAAGGCCTAGAAAAGCTAAGGAACCGGATGGCTGGGAGCCACCAAGCAACAGTGAAGTGATTCCCTACAAAGATCTGGGAGTCCCTGCTGGATGCATCGGCTTTGAAGGCCGCCCTCCAAGCTGTACAGCGGTCCAGCATGGCCTTGGGTGTGTCGAAACACCCAATGTCCATGCGGTTTCTATTTAAGCCAACTTAGAAAGGGCTACCCTCCAAGAAACATGTTTTTTTCTTAAACAAATGGCTCCATGTCTTTTGGTGGTTGATCATCTTTAGTGGGGAAGCTACCAAAGGGATGAAAAGGCTGACACTGAACCACTGACTCGTGGTTTGGGAACTTAGGGGAAACCACCATCTACAGACAGCTATGGTAACTAGGAGCTTCAGCCTTGGGAGAAGGGGAACCATGGAAGGCGCGGAACCAAAACAAAGTAGCACTTTCCAGGAAACTGATTCCAAACCTCAAACCAACCTCTGAAGCGATTCAATCAAAACCCGAAGGCCGACCAAACCCGAAGGCCAACCAAAAGCAACAAAGTGCCAACCCAGAGTCAAGCCTCCAACCCAAACCAATCCCAAAGTAGCCCGAAGCTAACCCTAAACCAACCGTCTCAAAACTAGCCCGACGCAAAAAGAAACCCAGCTGCCAGACTCTGAAAGCCATCCGGAACATGACTTTTAAGGCACAAGCAGAAAGAAAGATCCCACCGCCGGCCAGTTTCATGCCCCGACCTGTGCATCTCTGTGGACAAAAGAATTGGCATTGTTGGAGAAGTGGGCGAACGCTTTCCTAGGGGGTCAAACCAAAATTGCGTCCGTGGAATCCCCATTAAGATGCGCTAAAGTGCTAAAAGAGTGATAAACGAGTGCGCAGGAATCCACAGTGGCAACAAAAATGGGGGGTGTCATGTTTGAGGCTACGGGAAACCAAAAGGAACACCACCCGTGACGCTTGACTTCACTGCCCGCCCCCCGCCGAAGCAAAGACGGACAGCCCGCACTGTCAACCCTCAAGCGACAGATGCGCGAGGAAGAGGCAAAACCCAATACTACAAGGTCGAAGTCAAACATAGACTGCGACATATTGAGAAGGCAGTGCCATAAGCATAGCCTCAGGGTCTGTTATTAAGACCAAACTGAGTTGGCTGCAGATATGCATTAACTGCCCCAGGGCAGCTATTTGCCCCGAGGAAAAGGCACCTGCGAATTGGCATCATACGTGCGCATGAGCAAAGCCAGTGTGCGATATGGTCTGCTGAGCCTCACTTAATTAGCATTGGGTCAGCTCCTTTTACGCTTGTGTCCTTGGCAGTAACTTCGGGTTCCAGTACAACTTAAGAACATCCGGCCTGGGAAAAGTTGGTTCTCCAAGCTTGCTGGTAACTCAATCATGGCACCTTCAGAAGCAGGCGTGAAGGGGGCCAAGGCTAGTCCACTTGCTCATCACATTGATCCCTGGTGCACACGGCAGGACTTTGCGCACTAAGACCGAGAGATAGCGTCTCCTCCTGACAGGACCAACCTCCTGGCGGTCGAACACTCCTCTGTTAATACGAAAGCCAGCTTGCTGCCAGAGGTCGGCGACTGGAATTCTGCCCATTGTTCACAGCAGATGGCTAGCGGTCTGGACATAGCCGCATTGGCAGTGGTACAGATCAATACACGGCCACCTTCACTATGCAATCCATGCTTTCGTCCCGAATGACTCCAAGAAACACAAGGGCAATTGACAGACCAGAGATCACTGCAATGGCGAGAATGCGTGCTGCCGATATCTATCACTTATGCCAGCATGCCAAGGGCGGAACAACATGTAGATGCAGGAATGAGCCCACAGGTGTGCCCGGCGAAAAGCAGGTGGGTCCAAATGAGACACAATAGCTTTTGATGGTGGATTCCTCCAAGTCCAGGGCTGCAACGGTCCTGATTTGGAAACTCTGCTTCTGCAAGAGGTGTACTGCCTGTGACCAACCAGCAAAAGCTCCACAAAAAGGAGCCGCATGCTTGACCGCTTTGCAAGGAGTTCCCGGATGTACGGCTGACACGAAAGCATCTGAGGTTGGTTTCCAGAGGGCTGGACCACCCGCGCAAGCGAAGCACTTGAATATGCACAGGCAAGAATCACCTGAGTGATCATATAAACCCGTGGTCCAGAGACCAGGAAGAGACACCTTGATTGTTGTGCCAGGCTTGGGCATGACAGCAGGCCACGACAGGAGGTCAACTTGCCCTTGTACCACAGCGAGATGAACATCAAGGGACCCATCAGACTGTAGCACAAACCAAACACGAAAGCAGGCAAAGTCATCCAGTGTCTTCGGCAACGCGGGCGGGTGTGTCATGGCTGTGTTGGCAGGCCGGGGCGTGACAGGCGCGCCGCGGGAAGGCCATGAGCCAAACGCCTAAAAGGAACACCACCATGTTGTGGGGGTTCCGACTGAAAAAGACACACACCCACATGTCAGGTCAGTGGATTGCCACAAATCCCAAGTTGATCAAGTTGATCAATCTCCTGGTGGTTTCCATTGAAACGATGGCCGCTTTAGGTCTTAAAAAGGGAAATGGAGGGACCCCTGACACGTTGACTCTCGCCCCGCCTTGCCGAAGCTTCGGTGCTCCTGGCCCTCTTCTAGCCGCTCCTCCCAGACCTCTCAAGCGGCTGCGCTGGTGGCCAGTCCAGTCAGTGGACGTGTCGTCGAGTGGGGCCTCGCGGTTTAAAGGAAACATGACGGAAACCAACAAGGCAACGTCAAATCAAAGAGGAAAGCCTTTGGTCTGCCAATGTGAGGGGAAAAAAAACACGAAAGAGTCGGACAATCCTTGTGACAACTGTTTCACAAAGGGGATTAACTTGCTCAATCCCAGAAAGCGGCGTGCACATGGCCCCTGAGTCCTCCGGGGTCCCGGAAACACCCATAACTCAACAAATATTTCCCAAGATAGAAAGACACTGGAAATAAGAAGAAGTGTCATACAAATTGGGCCCCTTTCGGTCTCCACAGGAGATCGGCACGGGGTCCAAAAGGAACCGGCCATCTTTTTGGCCGCCCCCCCGCCCCAGAAAGGCCTTAGGCCGTACTTTTGGTCTCCCTACCCTTGGACACACGCAACATGGCCTCTATTTAACACCAAGTGCGACATGCAACAGCGCCGGCATATGGGAAACCACTGGCCAGGCACAGAAGTGAGGCTCCAGGTCCCAATGCCGAGAGCGAGCGGCTTGACTTGAGGGCCCAACCAGTGGACCTGTGGCCAAACCGATGCCCGTGGTTTCATGCCAGCCTGGATTAAACAAAAGCCTGGATTCAATAGGGGCTTCTTTGGGGATTCGATCTGAGAATCCCCCATCGAAGGACTGAGAATCCTCAGACCACTTTTAAGGGGCCCCCACCCCCACACAGTACACCCCTCTTCAGACAAGTTGATTCATCTGGTGTCAACATAACCTCCAGTGGCCAGTGAGAAAAAACAATGACAACAATCACGAAAAAAAACATGATATTCTGGGGATCCCCCCTTCAAAAAAAGGCACACCGCGCTGAGCTCCCCTGCTTGGCGCATGGCACGCGCCACCTGGCCAGGGCTCCAAACCGACTGGGGACGGAGGCAACACCTGGGCTCAGCAAACAATTGGTCCCTTTGGATTTTTATAGGGGCGCGGATTTATTTATTCTTTTCGGATTTTTTAATAGGCCTCAAAGGGAAAACCAGCCATTTGGGGCGCTAGCCCATTTTTCACACCCAAAGCGGGCCCCTCAGTTCCGGATTTGCCACAAGGAAGATGCAAATCAGGACGATGGTCCGGACTCGACAAACGTGCGGTTCTTCAAGTTTGAACATACGCATCTGTGTATTTCTCAAACTGGGACCTCGCCTGGTCCGGTTGGTTTTCTTTGTTGAGCCGCGGATTGATATTCTGAAACAACACAAAGACAACTTAACGGATGGCAGACGCATGATAACACGAAACATGAGACATTGGTCGACGACAAACTCAATGCGAGCAGAAGGAGACCCCTTGTCTGCAAAGGCGTGTCTGTTCTCAAAAGCATGCAGCATGATGCACTTTGTCCCATGTTCGGACCATCTGGTTCTTTTGATTTGCGGTTGACTGTGATGCCAAAATGTGACATCCGTGACTTGTTTGTCATTTCCAGAGATCCCGCAACTGTGATCCAGTGGGCCGGGAAGTAGTGGAACATCATGGGTGCCAGTGAAAATGGGCAACACCATCATCGATTCCAAGCAGGACGGCGTGGCCAAGTGGTAGCCTTCCGGGATCTCACTACGCTCCAGGCGGCGTCGCGCTTTCCTGCCAGGGCTTCAAGGCTTGAGAAGGCGGGTAAGGAAGCTGGCCAAACCAAGCAAGTTATGGAACCCCTGAAAGCGGGGGGTTGAGAGACGGGGTTGGGGGGTTCCCTAAGAAATTTGAAGGAACTACTCACTTGTACCTACCAGGCGGATGCTTTCACGATTGGCTGAGGAGCTGGCTCAGGGTCGGTGCCAACCAACCAAACAAATCAAATCAAATCGGGGCATAACTCAAATCCAGTCACTAGGCGCCATTGGCAGGGTCAACACGATGAGCGTCAACAAACACTTGCGCTCCTTCACGCCAAATTTTTGAATGACGTGACATAGTCCCTTAAGGCTAAAGGTGACTGATTGAATTGAGAAGAACTTTGGGCGCAATTGCGAGGAAATCCACCATGAGAAGTTTTCCTCGGTGGACCCCTGGTTCATCAACCCTTCCACAACAGGTTCGGACCCATTTTTCTGGGTTCGCCCAAGGCGAACGCAACACTCCGATCAAGGGGATTGGCCCGAAAAAGTGACCAAGTTATCGTTTACCGCTAACATGGCCCAACACCCCCAACAGCGACGAAAGCCAAGGAACTTCTTGTTTACCATTGAAATGTCCAACACCCAAAAGTGAAAGTCCAGGACCTTAGTCAGCGAGAACGCCTTCGGCCCTGGGCCCCCTGGGCCCCCAGCTGCTCGCCGAAGACGGCTGTTGCCTCTCGGCAGCTGCGGAAGAGGAAGCGCAACGCGTCTGCCAGCACCGCCTGGTTTAGCGAAAAGCCAACGAGGCGTGTCAACTACAAACCGAAGCTACCCCCAGAGGAGATTGTGGTATTCCTTTAAAAGGTGGCGTCTTTAGTGGCTGTATATGCCGTTCAACCCCTGGGGATCTGTAGTTTGGGGGTAGTCGAAACCATCTTCGGAGGGAGAAGCCTGAATGCTCACTTAGGATCACTTAGGTATGTGTCGAAATAGGATCCTCCAATATGTGCCTTTTCTTTGGGTTCCCTTCAAACCAGGTGAACAGGAAACAGTACCCTCAAAACAGGATACACCCACTTTCACCAGCGTCACATAAAACATGGCGCATGCCTCTTTGCGGAAACCATGACACGTTTTGATGCTTCCCGCGTTAGACGGGTGCGTTTTTGTTAAATGTGACCTTTGGTGGACATCCGACTTCGGTGGGGATTCCTTGCTAGAGGACCCTCCAGTTTTCCTTTGGGTTGCCCTTGAAAGCCCTCAAAAAAAAGGTACGAACTCAAACAGAACACCAGCATAATTACCCCTCAAGCATGCCGGGTATGCCAAATGGCCTGCTTGGTTGGGTCCACCAACCACTTTGGAAACTCCAACTCAAGGCCGAAGCTTTGCGCGATCCGCGGCCTCATCTTCAAAGTCTTTGGCTTTGGTGCGAGCCTTAGCCGGGCGATCGGCTTCAGTTCAGACCAAAGAACCCCTCGCTGGGCGTTGACAGAAGCAAAAAGACAAAAGGCCTTAGTAAGCCATTCGCAAGTCTTGGTATGAAGCAAGGCGAGACAAACCACAGGGGTCGAGATTCATTCCGCATGCTCACCTGCGAACCATGCCCATGTCTTTCTCGCCGCGAATGGTTTAACCCATTGAAATGCGTGCCCTTCTAGTTTGTCCGAAGGACCTGGAAGTCTCCAAGCTGAACCTTGGACCCCTTAAGAATATGCACGTGATTCTTCTGGGACCCCGCAAAAAGTTGGAGCAAGATGGGAAAGGTCAAAAGGTCGGCAAGCAAACTTCCCCAGTTTCTTTTCTAGACCCACCGCACCCAAAGTCGCAAGGGGAACATGGTTTCAACGCCCGTAGGCCGGACATGGCTGGACACTGAGCTCTCTCGTGGCAAACAGCCGAGATGTGCTTGACTGGACCTTGTGGAGACTAGGGTGTCAAGCGCTTTAAGCCGCCAATTGAAACCAAAAGCCAACTACAACAAAGGACATAAGTCAAGCGCAACCGTTTCAGACCAAATTCAAACTCACATGCCCTGAAGCCATTCAAACCCGCATGTTTGAATGAACTCATAGTTGCAACCGATCTGAACCTGAACCCCACACTGGCAGAACCAGCCCCAAACGGCCCAAAAAACAGCCCAAAACACGGCCCAAAACGGCTCGGCTCGGCCACTTCCGGGTGTCCGGCGCTAAAGCGGCTCTCACGGAAGTCGTGGCCCTTACCACCATCAAGATCTCCTGACGGCCAGTCTTCAGGAAAACCGCTCAGGCAAATCCAGTCGTGTTTTTCAAAATAGGTGTGGCGGTCAAATTTGGGGAACCCTGGTAAATGGACACATGGGCTCAAACCTGGGGTTTAATCTTTGGTGGTTCAATTCCGACCCACATCCATATAAGCCCTCCCAAAAGGGAACGTGATGTTTGGGACCCAGTCCCTTTAGAAGGAACATTGGCTTCCAGTTCCTGCTTGTTTCGATGGGAACCCTTTGGTTTGAGAAGCATTCCAAAAGGAGCCCAAACTTTACCGTCTTTTAAGGTGCTTTAAAAAGGGGAACCATAGAACAAGCCACCATCTTGGGGGTACCGATTCTTTTTGGAGATACGTCGATGGTGTTATGTTTGCACAAGGCTTGAGCACCTCTCAGATGTGCGGGTTCCTTCCGTGGATTTTTTGTGCCCTTTTTGGGGTTGGCTTAACGCCACAAAGGAAATCTCGGCATTTGCTTTTGGCCCCCGATCTTGACATATACCAATCCGAGTCAGGGAAGTGAGGCCGCATGCGAACATCCGCTCCTTGGATAGCGTCGGCCTGCATGCTGCGGTAGTCCTCCCGGCACTTTGGATGCGGCTTTAGTGGATCCACCCCTGGTTCTGGACTTTCTGGACAGATCGAACAAAGCCCATGTGGTTGAAATATCATCGTTCTAGTGCTGTCCCCTAACGGTCATCCCATGCAAAGGACCCCTTTGATCAACCCCAAGTTGGAGTTCTGGACAGATCGAACAAAGTTACCCACCTTGCCGAGTGGGCCAGGAGTAACTTTTCCCATGAGGCTAAAACAGCATCGTTTTAGTGGTGTCCCCCAATCATTATACCATGTAAAGGGGTTCTGGACAGATCGAACAAGCTTCCCACTGCCTCATGGCTTCCTTTTGGGAAACCTCTCCAACTTGCGGCTGCCTTTTGTGCATCGTGAAAGCCGCCGATGGCCGAACCCAGCATGGTTGTGAACGTCAGCTTTTCTGTGATACCAAAGCAGGCAAATGTGTGATTGCTTTGGCACTTTGAAGTGGGTCTTGGTATCAAAGAAAGTTGCCCTAAAACCCTATTCCCACAACCATGAACTCAGTCCTTGCCAAAGTCCAGGGATTTGCAAAGGCCCTGTAGCTCCGCCTGCGCACTGCGAACACTAGAACCAACACGTTTATTTTTGATATATTTTTTTCCTTGGCCCTTTTGGCGCTTCGCGAACTATTTTGGTTGGTTTGGGATATGTCATTCTGATCCGTAGCAAAGCTTAAACAACGGTTGAATCAGTTCAAAAAAGATCCCGGGAAAGTTGAAGATTGGAACCTTGAATGACGTGGACCACTTGAAAGAACCAAACGCTCGAAAGGTTGATCTGCTTTCTACCAAGATAGTTGCAAAGGTTTGTATAGGCCTTAGTTTGTATAACCCTCATAAAACATTGGTTTGTGAAACCAGTGCTTTGGTCACAAGACTGGGTGTTTGCACTTCGTGTGAAGGGCGGGTCCCGACCCCTTGGGCACAGGTCACCGGACGGATGTTGCTGCGGATGAACTCACGACGCAACGCAAGAAATTAGGTTTGCGACTTAGGATCTCACCCATGGATGTATCTTGGGGTGGGGGGTGAATGTGAATTATGCATTGTAATTGTCACTTGATCAGCTGGAACATATTTATGTCATCCTTTCACTTTAAGACTCACTTCCTGAGCGAGTTGGCCAGAGTCCAAACTTTTTGATGGCCAAATGGTCCAAACCCACAAAGCTTAAAGTGCAGGGACTTGGGAACTTGGGAAGTGAGAAGACACTTCCGGGGCATCTCAGAAAGTAGCAATCTAAAACCACCAATTCAACTTTCGGCAACCCGGAGTCACCATGTTGCTCTGGGAGCCACCGACCTTGGTGCTTCTTTTTTCACTTTCAAGGGGCAAATCACAAGAATGTCCCAACATGGGTCTTACACCCATCCGCAAAACTCCCACAACTTATGGCCCAGTTGGTTGGCGCTTTTCCTTGGTGGATTCTCAAGGGACCACCCCAAGCAACCTGATCAGTACTAGGCACCCGCAAGCTGAAAGCAACAAAAAGGGCTTGCAATGCCCCGAGTCTTCAGGATGCAATTTGCCAACTTGACGCAAGGAATCCCTAAAAAAGCAACCTTCATGCGTGAGCTCGTTCTGAGAGAGTGAACCGCAAACCAACCTTGGCCAGACTTGCACCTGAAGCAGCATTTGCCATTTTCGTGGCACAGCAAAATGAAGCAAACCAAAAAGCGCCACCTGCTTGGACTGCAAAATGAAGAAAAACCTATCGTTGAATGGCAATAGCGCAACGCCAAGAGTTGCCTGGCAGACCCGGCTTGCCGCGATACGCTGGTTGCAATATGGGTGCAAACAAGGATTAGTCAAGACTGGCGACAAGAGGAGCTTGCCGGTGCAATAGGTTGGACATGTGGGATTGAGAATAGGGTTCCCTTAAAGGAAACCACCAGTTGGATGGTTTATAAGGGTCATTCCCTCATTCCCTGCCTATGGCACCAGCAAAATGAGTTTACTCCCCCATGCAAATACTCCGAGGAATTGGCACACTATCTGCACCATGTTGCCGCTCATTGAACATCTTATCTTGCAACCTC